ATATATTCGATGGAAAGAGAATCTGTGCTGTACATGTTAATTTCACTTTGGAGGAGGAGATCGATTATCATCATTTATATATAAAAGCTCGAGAGGGCGCCATTGAAGAGAGGCAAGAAAGATAGTCTCTCTCGAGAGAATTTTCCTGCTGAAGAAAATCTGAAACTTGCAAAACAACCTCGAAGCTAGTCCATACTAGTGGGAGGTTGGTTTTGCTCGAGCAAAAAACTTTCCCCGCCACCTTTTGTTTCCTGATTTGGTCCCTTGTTGTTTTGGGTTTCGATCAATTAGGTCCAATATCCAAAAGTTTTGTGAATCTTAGCTAGGGAATCTTTTTCTTCTTTTGTGGGGGGGTTTTGTGAAGTGAGAAAAAAATGGCGAGAGGGAAAGTTCAGATGAAGAGGATCGAGAATCCGGTGCACCGTCAGGTGACCTTCTGCAAGCGCCGGGCGGGGCTGCTGAAGAAGGCCAAGGAGCTGTCTGTGCTTTGTGATGCTGAGATTGGTGTCCTCATTTTCTCTGCCCATGGAAAGCACTATGAACTTGCCACCAAAGGGTAATTATGTCCTTTCCTTAACTCTCTTTCTCTCTCTAGATCTCACTCTCTGAATATTGCTGTGAATACTAGCTACTTCATCATGGTAGAATCAACAACTCCACTACTGAGTCTTCTTAAGCTAGTTTTTTGTTAGATGAGATGTGTGAGTGAGATTGAGCTCTTTTATCGTTTCAATTTGATCGGTGGAAAATGGATTTAATTTGTATCCAAAATTAAGTAAAAAAGAAAGAGTTACTAGAAGTCGAAACGTAACAGTCATATGCTCATGAAACATGTATTATTGTCTTCGATGACGTTGCAGTCAGATATTCGTGTTATAAATTTGATGATAAAGAATTTAAAAAACAGAAAAAACACTGCCACACTGCCACAATTCAGTTAATTGTTTTCAATTTGCAAATCTAAGTGAACTTGCCCTTCGAGATGTCATAAAGATAAGAAAATATGTCCGAATCGATGCATTATATTCGTCTATAAACCATACCATGCTTCGTATTTCGTTAACCAAAATCTTTTATCACGAAAAACATTTAAATTTTAAAAGCACTCATTTCGAGTCCATTATTTGAGACGTTTATAATTAAAATTGACCTCACTTTATATATAATCAGAATGAAATGATAATCCACCTTTGCCACTAAATTACTATCTATATCTAGCTTTCTAGTTTTCAACCATTTCAGTAGCGTAACAAGTAAAAAGTAAAATAGCATAGATGATTTGTTTTTCAATTTATTTATCTGAACGTAGCGTAAAGGGTAAACGGGAACACGCGTCACGTATACATGCATGCAAAGTTGACGACGAATTAATAATTAATTAGTTTATTATTATTAACTGTTCTTCTTCTCTTTTTTTTTTTCCCCACGTGCGAAGGACAATGCAAGGGCTGATAGACAAGTACATGAAGTCCAGCCCGGCTGCGTCTGCGGGTTCGGGTGTGGGCCTGGGTATGGCTTCGGGGTCGGGTCAGTCATCTGACCAGTCCAAGGATCCGAATCAGGTGTGTGCACACATATGTATTCGTTATTATTTTGTTATTTTCCTAACTTGCTGATACATCTTAACGATCACCCGTTACTCTTACTGTTTGGATTTGAATAACATAGTTCAATCTAGCCTATATGGGTGGCGTATGTTTACCTTATCGTACACCGAGTGAGCTTTGTTGTATATATTATAGAATAATTGGGAGTTCAAATATTATACTGTACCATAATCTCTATGGTTGAACTATCTCATAATCTAGTATTTTAAATCCAAGTCATAAGATCAAATTAATAAATAAAAACAGTAAGACCCTTCTGATTTGCCAAAATATATATACCCATTATCTTATATGCATCAAGATATAGGGTTTATGGACACTTGCTATATAAGGCTTACTCATTATGGGGTAGGGTATAATATCACGCCTGAAATCCCGCTAATTCAATATTTAGATAGTATCATTTATCAAAAGTATATGATACACTAAATTTACCCTGTGTACGGTAGAAACCGCCATATACGATAAGTTTGATCGATCATACAGAATATGAATCTGAGAACTAGACTACAAAAGTGTTACAAATTGTTTAGTGGAATTTTTCCCCCAATTAATAGTCCGCAAAATTGGAACAAAAAAAAAACAATGAGAACTAGAGTCAAGTTGGTCGGAATTTAGGTCAATATGATTTGTCTTGTCACGTATTGGAACAATGCATATAGTGCACAAACACAGGGAATAAAGTGAGAAAACAAAGAGAATATGCAATACACTGAGCATACCATATATGGTAATTGGTATACAAATTATAATGGAGCAAATTTTATTCCTTGGCCACAAATGTGAGGTTGTCTTTTTTCAGAAAGAATTGTATACTTGTCACATTATAATTAGGGCTCTTATATATACTCTAATAAGTACTCCAGGTGTTTGCACCATGACCCTTCATTCATTGGTCATTTCCTTTCCCTCTTTGCTTTTATAAGATGCCCTAATAGTATCAAAACTATCAATCATACAATTTAGAGATATCATATTATAAACAACAACAAAATATTGTGAATTTAGAGATAGTCTGTATCTTAATTAACTAGAGGATAGTATGTGTGTGGTGCATTTTCATGTAAAACTGTTATTTTCATATGATTTTTCTTCTTATGATAATAATAAAGAGACTTAAAAATATGGGAAATGGAGTAGGAAAAAAAAATAGATTGGTGGTGGAGAGCCAGAGTATCGATCCATGCTTCTACAAAAAAAAAAAGAGTATCGATCCATGTACATCTTGCATTCCTCTCAATTTGTGATGAAACATATATATAATTATACAAGTAGGAAAAAAAAATTGTAGATGATGGAGATGCAGGGTATCGATCCCCGTACCTCTCGCATGCTAAGCGAGCGCTCTACCATCTGAGCTACATCCCCTTTTTATCATTTAAATTATAAATTTATTTATAATCCAAACTTTCCATATATTTTCTTATTTTGTGTGTATGTTGTTATGGTGGTTCATTATGTATAAGAAGAAACATCTCTACAAATTATTTGGCTCATGTTCATATAGTGTTCTAGTCAAACATTAATATTATATATGGATATGTTCATCCATTAACGGCTGTGAGCATAAGCAGGATGCCAAAGAAGAGATCGGCATGCTGAAGCAAGAGATCGAGACGCTGCAGAAAGGACTCGGGTTGTTAATTGTTCTGCCATTTTTCTTATTCTTGTTTATCTTTTTCTAATAACATTGAGAGAATACAAAATTTGTAAAGTTCATTATGAGATCTTTTTAGTTCGAATCATTTTCTTCTGGGAGTATGCATTATTAAACGAAAACAATTGCTGGGATTCAATAAAAACAGGTACATATTTGGAGGAGGAGCTTCAGAAATGAACTTGGAGGAGTTGCTGGTGCTTGAGAAACATCTCGAGATTTGGATTTGTCAGATTCGCTCAACAAAGGTGCCAAAATTATTACTATTTTTGTTTTTGCTTACTCACAATTTTATTGAACTTGTATCATAATTAATTGTTTTAGTTACTAATTAATCACATTTTTTCGATCCCTTAATCCCCCAGATGGAGATCATGTTTAAAGAGATCCAACTGTTGAGGAACAAGGTTTGGATCTTCCCCTAAAACCTTGTTGATTAATATTACATCTACTCTATTTTTACTTTCTAATATATACAATTTTATTCCATATGAAATAAGTAATTAATATTTTTTTTGGCAATGTTACAGGAGGGAATCCTGAAAGCTGCAAACCAGTATTTGTTAGATAAGGTACTTACTTTATTATGTTAACTCACTGCAGCAAGTTAAAAATGATTGATTTTTCAAAATTCAATTGCAAATTTATTTCCTAACCCCCTAAAACTAATTACAGAATCACTTTTTTCAGATGGAGGAGAATGTAGAGTTTACTAACATTCAGGCAGTGATGGGTAATATTCCATACCCACTAACCATACAGAATGAAATCTTTCAAATTTAGGGATTACTACTGTGTTTTAATCTCTCTATCTATCTAGTAACTATTTATTTTTTTCCCCACCTCATTTATGGACATAATTATATATTATAATATAATTATAATTGAGGAGGGTTGTTTGGTGTGTAATGTAAGTTTTTTTTTCTTTCAATGTAATGAACTATAAAACGCAATTAGCGACGTGTGGATGAACTTATTTTGGTATGTAAGTTGACGAGTGGTAATTATGTTTGGAGTATTAAGCCATGGGGCTTAAATGCATGCTTCCTCGTGCCTATGGATTTGTGGTATACTTCATTTTTCTCTGAACAAATATAGAGATGTTGTCATATTAAGGGGAGATGTGATGTTTTTGGGTAAGGATAGTTTTCGAGTGGGAGAGTCGGTGCAAAGTGTCATTCAAGTTTGTTAATTTACAAATCAGTCAATATCCATATAAATTTGCTTTCTTGAGCCTCGTTTTTCAAGTCAGTAATCAGGTTGAGACCATACAAAATACCAGCAAGTTCAACTTTTGCGTTCTCCCGCCTTCTTAGTTAACCATGAAAGGTTTGATTGAAGCAATCTTATTTCCTTCTTAAGTATCGATCTCTTGTCTATGTCCAGCAAATTTGGATTTTAAGAGACATTACCACTGGTATTGAATCCAATCTCAAGGTGATGACCACTATCAGATTGTGTGCTGCTCTCTCAATCCGGCAAGATTCATCACCACTTTCTCTGATAAGATCAACTATGTGAAAAAGTGAAAAGAAATTGGTACGAGAATAACGTTTTAACATTAAGGATAAAAAAACTCACTCAACTATTATCCACTGCCTTCAAATCCATTGTCCCAAAAGAAGTACACTGAATACTTTCATAATAGTACTTTCACTTACCCAGATTCTTCCTCCTAAAAATATTTCGCATTCGCTCAATATATACGCCCTATTTTCGAGAATGCAGGTAAAATCTCTAAAATGAGAAATTTCGGTGACCAACTAGAGTATTCTCTTCCTTTCTAGGCACCATAAAGGTAGTTTTACATTCAGTTCACTACTAGTGAACTGCGTCCACTGTCCAGTGCCATGCTGGCACAGCTCTATCCACAGAGAAAAATGATTTGTGTGGCCATGGCGATTGCCGATTCCTCCTTTCCCATTCCTCCCTTCCCCTTCTCCTTCTCCCCTTCACCACCTCTTCCCATTCTGTCCATTTTCCAGTCCCCCCCATGGCCGCCGCCGCCGCTTCTCCCCGTCTCACCGCCCTCTTCGCCGCCCAAAACCACTCCCTCGTCCCTCGACGCGCCGCCGCGACTCTCAATCTCCGGCGAAATAGCCACCACCGGAGACTAACCCCCTCTCTCCACTTCTCTACTCCGACGTCCGGCCGAGACATCTCCTGCAAGGCGACCGAGGTCTCCCTAAGCGAGGATTCCCCATCTCCGTCATCCGGCGGTGGGGTTAATTGGGTTCCGGTGGTGCCGCTGGCGGCGCTGCCGAAGGGGGAGAGACGGGTGATTATTCAGGAAGGGGAGACGATTCTCTTGCTTTGGTATAAGGATCAAGTGTTTGCCATTGAGAATCGGTCTCCGGCTGAGGGAGCATACAGCGAAGGGCTTATCAACGCAAAGCTCACACAGGTAAATTTCAAAACTCTTGTTCTCATTCTTTTCCGTAATCCAATGATTCTAATTCGGAATGGGTTCAATTCCATTGGGGTTAGTCCTAGCTTTGACACGGGCCAATTTTTCATGCCGGAAGCAGGGGACATGGATCTCTTGTTGCTGGTTTTTGAAGGAGATGGAATGTATAGCTTCTTAAGTAGTAGATTGATTGTGTGTTTGTTGTGTCATTAATCATGGTATGAAGAAGGGAACTGGAATTGGTGAATGGAGTTAACCGAAAGTCTGAGAGTGTGGATACTCTGTCTCCACCATCTTTGGGATTGTAGAAGTTGCCAATGGTGCACAACACTGGAATTCTGCAACTCTCCTCATTTCAATTAGAATGTGTTCCTTGTGAAGTATGGAAGGAAATTAAATTTGACTTCGAATGAATTGATCGCGCGTTCTAACTTCTGTTTCGATGAAATGTTTTCAGATTTGACATTGGTTTCTGGCATTCCTGTCCATTGAGCGACTTTTTGGCTTCTGGGCTGGTGTGTAGGTGTGATTTAGAAGCTTGAAAAAGGTAGAGCTTTTTAGGGCTGGTTTGTGTGTGTGTGGCTACGGCGACCTAAGTTGAAGGACATCGAGAGTTTTAACTTCAATAGTGCATTGCTAGTTTGCAGTTTTATAAATAGTTTTCACTTTTCATGGAGAAGGAAAACTGGAATCAGTGAATAGAGTGAATCACTAACTCGAGTAGAAAGTGTGAAACTTTTTCCCCTCATATACTTCGAACTGCAGTTGGAACTGAAGGAGTTACGAAACTGAAACCTTTCGTATCTGCAATTCTGAAGTTTTTCTTAGATTGAGTTATCCTCGAAGTGGGCTCGATGCTCACTGCATTCTATTGTTTGCTTTGGCTTCATTATGATTGACCACTATTGGTACTGTAAGCATGAAAAAGTTTTCACCTTTGCTGTTGCTTTTTGGCTTTTCCCGCAGGATGGTTGTATAGTGTGCCCAACAACGGAGAGCACATTCGATCTTCGTACAGGAGAGATCAAAGAGTGGTATCCAAACAACCCTGTGCTGAGAGTCCTCACACCTGCTCTCAGATCACTCTATGTATACCCTCTGAAGACGGACGAACAGAACATCTACATCGGGATGAGTGGAGGTGCACCGTCAGATGTATCTGCTGAGATCGTGTTCAGTGGGACAGCTCAACCCGGTTTCACATCAAGTGATGTCAATGTCGAGGAGGTATCCACCAATTGTCAAACTATACATATATCTTTGCGCAAGTCACGACTCATTATCACAGTTAGATGTAGTTAGTTAGTGAATCAAATTCCACACTTACAACCATTCATATCTGCAAATGTACTAGTTAGTGACTTATGATTTGGTTTCTATTGTATAGGTGAGGATGGTGGTTGACGATGAGGTGGGAGGGTTTGGTTTCACGAGCAGGAACGAGTCGATAAACGGGAAAGCAGCTGTGATTGGGTTCTTGCTGCTGTTGGATTTCGAGCTCTTGACGGGTGAAGGGCTTCTCAAAGGTACAGGGTTCTTGGACTTCATATACTCTGTTTCCAACGCTCTCAACTAGAAGAGAGCCATCCCCCTTTGTTTGGTTGGAGTTTTCTAGTTGTGGAGACGACGCCCCGGGACTAAGTACTCTGAGATTCATTCAAAGGAATTCGTTGGCTCTGAATGCAGACTTGCAGACTTTGCCAATGTTTCTGATTTTTGTTTGACCATCTATAATATTGTTGTATAGTCTCTGATTAGCAAGTATAGTACACCATCACTGTCTGGCCTTTTTCATCTCTCTGTTGTTTGGACAAAAGAACAGATGACTACTGCTTGCCAAGCACATGACCTATCCAAAGTTGCCAGTCGCTTCTTCCGTCAATCAGGCGGGTTCGAGTTGGGTTCAATTCGGTTACGAATTAGTCGTGTTTGGGTCATTGGGTTGTGGGTTAGTCGTTGACAATAATTTTTAGGGATTATGTGGAATTTATTAATTTTTAAAGTTTAATTATGCTGATTAGCAGTGATGTGGCAGGTTGACCGTTAGTCAATGGCCTTGACCGTCAAAACCAATGGTCAACTCTCAGGTTTGGTCAAATTAGTAAATGTAGCGTTAGTTCGGATCATGATGTTAAATACCAAAAGGATTGTCTAAAATGTTAAATATGGAAAAAGTTCGAGCCATACAAATATATTAACCTATTAATTTTCTACACGAACCCGTACAGTTGGGAATTGGGAGGGTTGGGTCGGGCCGACAAGTAATCTTTTCATCATTGCTATCATGGGCTTCGGTAGGATCGAAAAGACACATGATTAGATTCTCATTGTGAGTTGAGAAATTAAAAGGTGTGTCGAGGAGTCGTGACTAAATGAGTCAATTTGTTCATCAGCAACTTTAGAGGAAAAATTTCGATACTTTGTTCGTAAACTAACGAGTTGAGTTTGAGCTATAAGTATTGTTCAATTTATTAGACTCACGAATCCGCTCGACTTGGTGGCTTGTTGAGCTCAACTTGCGAGCTACCTCGTCTTAAGGTATGATCTAGCTCGACAGTGTAGCTAGTGAGCCAACTCAACTAGCAGTTTATGAGTGAACCGATTTATAACTTGTGAGTTGACTTGTTGATAGTTCATAGGTTTGTTGAATTATGTATTTCCATACATGTGAAGTTTGTCAAAACCACACACTAACCTGACCCAATCCGTTAATTTCAAAAGTGACACTCGAAACTGGTCCTTCCACAGAGGATTTTACCCGCTTTCCAGTCAACGTGAGCACAGAAAGCAAAACGATGTTATTAGCCTTTACAAAGTATAAACCTAATATTATGAATCATTTATGATATTATTAGTCACATTTTGCTACTATTACGATGTGATTATTTGAAAAAAAATAATGTATAATTATATTTGTAAACCTAATGTATACCCATAATGTATGGATACCCGTTGATCGAGTTGAGTTTTCTCTTAAAAAATACATTGGATCGATACGTACCAACTTACCAAGTCATGTCGATTTGCTACCATTCCAGCACATGCCTTGCCGAGTATTTGAATGCAGGCGGATTGTTCTGCCACCCTTATCCAAAACTCAGGAAGACCAATTAATAAAATTAACGAACCCAACAAACATCAATAACTGTACGGTCAACCCCGATAAAACAGCGAATCTCCTGCATAAGATACTGAGAGACAAAAACAATGTTTTTTATTTTATTATTCCAATGCCCCAAACTTTTACATTCATTCATATATATATATATAACCAAAGCAAGTGGAGAAGACAGTAGCAATTCATGAAAGAAACAGTACTTAGAAAGAAAAGGACCCTGTAAACTTAAAGACACAGTGCCCATGCATGCACATAAGGGTTACATTACATATGTATGAATTGAACTCTAAGTTTTTATGGTGGCCAGCTTCTGCATCTGGAGCTGGCTTGGCCGCTTCACGTCAACGGCCAATCCCACAGCTTCCAGGAGCCTCACTGCGTACCAAGTCATGTCGATCTGCCACCATTCCAGGCCGTGCCTCGCCGAGTACTTGAAGGCGTGGTGATTGTTGTGCCACCCTTCTCCAAATCCAAGTAGTGCAACCCACCTACGAAAGAAAAAAAAAAAAACCCTAATCATACATATTTCGTTTCCTACTTGTTCAATTCTCGCCGTCTATATCATTTTGAGAAAAAAATTCCTGCAGCTCGTCAGTGATCTCTGACAGAGCTGCTACTGTTGTACGACACCCAGTGGCGAAGGGAGGGTTTTAGCATTGGTGTCCCAGGACCCCACTTAGCAAGAAAAGGAGGGGAAAATTAGTAGGAATGTGGTATTCGAAATATGATATTAAGGTTTAGGACCCCATTGTTAGACGACAAAAATAAGTTTAGGATCCTATTATAGGTTCTTGCTGAGCTATGCACGTAATATAAAGCTATTACAAAGGTTTGGACCCCAATCTATAGAAAGTCTGGCTACGCCACTGGTCGAGTGACGACACCCACCCACTTACATGAGCTAACATTTGGCGGGTCGTGTTGGTCTCAGAAGTAAGCATCGTGGTCAAGGGTGTGCAACGATTTGGTCTGCATCAGACCGATTACAACGTGACCCAGTTCTTGGTATATGAATTTTATAGATATTAAAGAAAATTTGTCTGCATTGATTTGTAGACTTGCTCGATTCGGTCCTTGAATATAAGATTTCTCTTTTCAATTTGAAAATGATTCTCATGATTTGGTCTGGATCTGACTGAGCCGGACTATTGCACACCCCTAAAATTCGTGGTTTTATGTCATTATAAAAAGAAATGATAATAGGGCTTAATATATTTACCAGTTATTTCTAGACAAGTCACCCGTGTTCCAAGGTCGGGCTCCCCATGTATGAGCAGCCGAGTTAATTAGCCATGTAGCGTGATAAACCCCAATCAGCCTCACGCCCTGAAATGAACAACGTGCGTTTAGAGACAAATGATAAGAAGCAAATAATTATCTTTTACAAGAACAGTATATAATAATTTCTCTCACCATTCCCCACACAATATAAGGAAATCCACCAAGCCAGTAGAGGAGAAACCCAAGACCTATAGGATGGAACATGTACGTATTGTACAACCACCTGTAGAAAGTCTGGTTTTCTAGGTCTCCCACGTTGTTCGGCTCTCCACACTGCATGCATGCATGCAAAATTCAACGTACACCCCCAATTACTATTTCAGAAACTGCAACACAAGAAATTGTAGTTCTAACTACGAAGATGAGACGATCGATGTGTACAATTAACCTTCTCTTTAATGGCGGCAGAATCGAAGATCCAGCTGATGTGACTGTACCAAAACCCCTGAATTGGGCTGTGTGGATCTCGTTCTGTGTCAGTGTATTGGTGATGAAACCTGTGTGTGCTCACCCAATACAATGGATCCCCCTGAAAACCCGTAATCGTCGTTAATGATGATGCGCGGTTAATGAGATTTCGTAACTAATAGATTGAGCAGCGGCTCGTAGACCACTTTAATTTATTTTGCAACGGCATTAAAAACTCATCTCTTGTTAATTATTTGGTTATCATAATATTAAATTACTATACTAAAAAAACAAAAATCCTCAATTAAATTCATTTATATGTTGGAGAAAGAAATCCATCATCAAACGATACGGGAGACCAGGACTACGTGAAGAAAATAGCTTTTGGTGACCAAACTAGTCGTCGCTAAAAGCAGAAAGTTTTTGGCGACCGTTTAAATTACCTGAAGGGCATGTGCGCCGCAGTAAGCAAACAAGTACTCGAGCCACTTGGGGATCCTGAAGCTCTTATGGGACAAATGCCGGTGGTAAGAAAGGTTGATCCCAAACAGCCCCGTGATCGTGTAGAGACAAAACGCGACCCAAAACGCACCCCAGCTGAAGCAAAACGGCGCGTACAAGGCCAGCAGATGTGCCGCCACGATGCTAACCACCGCCGTTTTGTCCCACAGGTTCCATTTCCTAGTTTGTTCATGACTCACGACAGAAACGTCCGGCGGTGACAGATTAGGATCGGCGGCGGCGCCGTTGCTCTTCTTGTTCAGCTGCTCCCCGCCGTTTGCTTCTCCGACTGCCATTTGTTAGCTGGCCGGAGAGTTTTTCTTTGTTTCCTTTTTTTTCCTTCTTCTTTGGTGTGATTCTATATTTTCTTATGCATGCATGTATTTATAGCATTCACTCACCACGGTGTGTGATGATGAGTAGTGCATGGGATCATTAAATTTTGGTAGGTTGGGATATAAATTTTCTACTCTAACAAACAATAAATTTTCAAGGGGATCGATTAATAATTTGTAGGGATGGGTTTTGTTGCCAATAAAAGAGGATTTTCAGGTTAGCTTCTTCAAAAGTCTCTCATTTTTGTCTCCTTTTTTACACACCTAGAAGTTTTAAAGGTGACACAAGTTGATGAATCACAAAATCGATTGTAAAACAGTGGATCTAGGGATGTTGATTTCGATCTGATATGCTTGACCTGTTTTGGGCGAGGCGGGGCATAGATATTTTTTTATCAATCTGATCTATTTCATGTATTTTTATTACATCGATCATATTTTATAGGCTGATTTTTATAGTTAGATGCTACTGGAGAGAATCTAACTTGGAACCTCCATGAGGTTTATTATCTCATATTCTAACTATAATAAAGATGTAAATAGGTAAGAATCTCAATTCTTTTTGAATAAATTAACTATAATTATTTATTTTAATAATAAAAATTAATATTTATAATTTTTTCTATTAAAATTATATACACATATGGATCGATCTGTCCTGATCTGCCTCCCATGATAAATTACTTGATCTGAACTCAATTTGTAATGGGACGCGAGTATCGAGATATCCGTCTCGAGCTACCCATTGTCGTTCCTAAGTGGATCCCTCCATTTCATAGATAAATAAGCAATGCAAATTCTAGTTGGCTTTATTAACTAGGCCTGGTCTCCCAACTTGTAACGAACGAGATGGAATTTATCGAAAGTTCTACATTTTTCATAAATAAATATGTGATTCTTAGTTATATAATACTTATATTCTAGCTTTACAACCAGCAAGTGGTGAACGAGAAGATTAGGTGCTAAAGAGACAGACATATATATATGTGGGGGAAATGAACTCGATCTTAAGCCTTGTCGGTGAATTGTGAGCCTTGGCTTTGAGCGTTGAAACAGTACAGAATTGACCGATGGATGGATAGTACCATAATGGTCGTCGGTCGTCCTCTTTGTTTAATTCCCTGACAGAATTGATTCATCTAAATTTTATGCGGCCAAATAGATCAATTTGGCCAAATTGTCTCCAAAACGAAATAATTGGATCGAATCAATCCGTTAGAATTCCTCATCCAGACGACCCCTATGGCCGGTTGATTGGGGAAGGTTTGAGGTTTCGTATAGGAGAGTATAAGTGGCCTAATATTGTTAGTGTATCCGTTTGAGAACGATATATGATTTCATAAACGTGATCAGAGTTAGAGCTTTAGACGTAGGTTGAAAGAGTAAGACTTCTTAGGGTCATGATAGTGAAAGAGCAAAGAGTCCGAGAAATGGAGGTGTGTCAATTCAAGCAAACCTTAACCGAGAGAAAGTGGCGTAATGATATGTTAGTGTATCCGTTTGAGAATGATATACGATTTCAAGAACGTGATCAGTTATATAGAGCTCTAGACGTAGCTAAGTTGAAAGGAACAGATTTCTTAAGGTCATGATCATAGTAACAGATCAAGCTTAGCATAACCGAGAGAAGACGCGAGATTTACCTGGTTTCCCTAATGTTAAAAGTGAATTTGATTAATCTTTAACGCATGAAATTAAGTAAATACCACAAATATATGTGGTCCATTAACAAGATTTGTGTTAGCTAATTTACGGGCAGGAGAGATCAGTTTCACTATACTTGAGAGAATATACAGATTACAGAGATTACAAAGGTATTATAGTACCTACTCTAGACAGCACAACCCTAATACAATCTGAATAAGAAAAATATAACAGACTAGGCCCAAAAGAGCCAAAAAAAAAAAAAACTTGTATACGCTCATACACTGCAACTTCTAGTAGACGACATATAATTTGTCTTCAAGTCATAGCAACACTCAATTATGATTAGTTAAGACTGGTTTATGAATAGGTAAATATTAGGTTTGACGTCCAAAATTAATTATAGTTCTACACACCAATATATAACTCCCCAACCCTAGTTGAACGATATAACAATTTCAATCACATAATCAAATCTTCACGTCTTTCAATAGCATGAAAATATTTTAGAAACTTATCTTAAACAAAATGGTCCCAATAACTCGAATTGTTGGGGAGAGATTCTTATACAGATTTTAACCATTTTCTTAAACGCCTCCTCAAACGAAAGTCAATTTATGAATTTGAAGTTTGCACAGACCCTTATACCATGTATGTGCTTGAAAATAATGACTAATAATGGGCGGGATCATGATGATTTAAACACAAGACAAACCAACTCAAATATCACGTCAATAATCCATTATTCTCAATATCTCAACTTGTTGAAAAGGTGTATATATACATCAGTTCTTTACAAAACTCGAGTGGTGGTTGATGGATAGTGTACACTAGCCAATATAATATTTATATAATTATATGATGTGTCCATAGATAATCCACGCAAACCGTACATATATATATAATTTGCTAATCACTAATTAGTGGTAGTTGCATGGAATGCCAACGTATTTATTGCAACAAGTGGGTTTCAATGTTGAAAAGCACTTAAATTTAATTTTCTCGTTACAAAAGTGCAAACTCAAAGTTGGGAATTGGGAGGGCCGGGCCGGCCAAGGATCTTTTCATCATTACTACAATGGGCTTCATAGTGGGCCCTTTAGGCTTTAACACTCATTGATCAGATTCTCAAACTGTGAGTTGAAAAATTAAAAGGCGTGGGTTGTGGGTGCGGTCCAATTTAGGATCAAGATCGATAATTCATGCTTAAATCAAGTAACATGATTAAAGTTATCACCAATATTCACGTAAATTTTCGGCCATGGTTTGACTCATATGGATGATTTGACTCAGAGTTGCCCACAACTATATCTATGAGAATGTGATCACAAAGGTGCAGACAAAAATGTCATCACATTCATTCAATGGTTGCAGAGCTTTTAACACGAAATTCAACGTTGAATTTTGAATGTCTTATGAGTACGTTCTCACAAACGCCATATGAGCACCTACGTGGGTTGTTATCAAGGTTGTCAATCTGGTTTAGCTCGTTAGGCCAATCAAGCAAGTGTGCTGAGGGTTGATGGTCTTATCGCTTTAACTTGGATATATGAAAAAAAGCAATTATATTATTGTCCAAACATTTATAAATTATATCGAATCTCATCTAACGTATGAGTAATAACATATAACATATATATAACATTATACCAAAATAACAGTTCGTACTTGGATCCAACATATAGTGAAAATTCAAACACACTCATAAAACATTAATATTCAAATGTTCAACTTATAATTCCAAAATGATGGTTATGCGAATGGAAAACCGCGAAAAGACGTATTTTACAAATCAAAGAGAAAAATAATATCGTGTTACTTCCAATCCGAAAATCTTATATAGTGTGGATCTACCCGCTAATATGTAAGCACCCATTTTACTCGCCTGGTCAAAACGGATCAACAACCTTGGTTGTCATTCATGCATGTACTCCAGCTCCCCCCAAGTGACAACTCTGAGACAGCTAATATATCGATCCTACCAGAAAACCAAACTAAATACATCAAATTAACTTGGATTGCCCCACGCTTTGCCCTAGTTGGGGTTGGCAGATATACAAATTGATTTTGATGGTCAGGTCCAGTTTGATGATCAAACCGTCCGGTCCACTCGAGGCCCACAATCATCATTTCTCGACCCTCTCCGGGCCGGGTCCAGATCGTGGCCCGGTCTGCCTGGCTAGCTAGCTGCATGTGCAATCTTTTATTACGCCAATGTGGGCTATGATTTCTGCAGCTGCCACATTGAAAAATCTTTGCAGTTTAGGGCAGGGCTGCTGGGGTACTTTGGGGAATCATCTTTGTGTTTCTCCTCCTTACTTTGCCTTATTTTTGAAGCATATATATGATTATTAAAGTCTCACCAGTTCCAGCAGAATGTCCATAATGAAGAAACAGAAGTAACAAGAACAAGCTACAATCCTTCTGGTTCTGCGGGCTCTTATTCATGGAATCAATTTGTACATAGTAAGGATTGGCAGAATGACCCATTTGTTGTACTATTACCCAAAACCCAACGTACCATGGGTCAAATTAAGTCGGAGTAATTTTAGTTTCAGGGATATACTCATAAACAATTTTTTAGTTTGGATCTAAATGGGATCCCTAATATTGGAAGTTCAAAAGAAAATGGGTATCCGATTATAATGCAATTTTTTGTCTAACTTTTTGTTATGAAAAAGAAAAGCTAGAAAAATGAAAGCACCTACATGGTTGAATTTTTTGTGTGTAAACATTCATCTGGACCCAATCAGATCCATTTGAGTATAACCCAAATGAATAACCTAAAATATAACTCAATTCATATCCAACTTAAATAAATAAAAACCATTACAAATGTATTGAGTTTGTTTGGTCCGATCCAATACATATACGGGTATGACAATTAGATCGCATTACCTAATAAGTCTACCCATTATCATGTCCAATTAAAAGTATTAGTATGTAATTGTATTGATGTATTCTCTTATGTTTGCTCAAAGTTTTACATTTATTAAACTTTGCTATGGAGTTGTTGGAGTATTTGAACTTTGCAAGTCAGGTGAAATGGAACTGGAGACGTCAATTTTACTATCATGCTAAAGACTAGTAATATATGCCTCTTTTTTTGTCCCAAAATACGATTAATCTTTTTTCTGCAATTTTTTTTTAATTTCGGGTTACAGTAAAAGAGATATAACCAGTTAAATTTAATTATAAAAAAAAGTTTAGGCTACTAACTGGATCGGCTTCCGGCCACCAACATATGAACTATGGGCCCAGCCTTCGAGGACGCAACCAGCAATTATGGACCACAGAGCCTATAATTGGGCTTTTCCCGGCCCATTCAAAACCCTGATAACCAAAAACATGAACAAAACAAGTTCATTGCCCAATGGCCAATGCCCAAGAGTCTATATATGACGATTGACGAGCTTACAAATTTGAACTGGCATGCAGCATTTGATTCACAAACTCTTCTACTTGCAACTCGAGTGTCCTTTATGAATAGAATACTTTATGCCATTGACTTTCGGTTTTTGAAATTTCTAACATTTTGATGGAAATAGTGATTAACTTCCCACTCTAAAAGTAAAACCGCTAAATACTTATATCGTCTATGAGTAAAGATCGGTTGAGTTGTGTATATTCTCTGGTTATAAGTTTGTGACGGTTTGAAAAAAAAAAAATCAATTGTTCGTGAAGAAGGAGAAGTGCGACGATGGTGATATACGACAATGATACGATATGATACAATAATAAGTTTAGACATATGACAAGTGATCTACATTTCTCAATGAGAAGAACAACTACATATTTGTTGGACATACATTTATATATACGACGATTACCCACAAATCCTCTCGACACATTGGATGTGGAAAACCCTCCACGAGACCAAGAGTATTTCCCTCCCACAGGATTATTACAAGTGAAACTAAGACCCAGACACAAAAACTCAAATTAGAGACCAAACAACACTATAAATTAAGGAGGAGAAACAAAAAAAAAATAAAAATAAAGAGACAATCACAAACACGTAGCACGATCGAACAAGTGTGTGCGTACAATAATGTACATATGATAACGATTGACGTACTCCTGAAACTATACTATACGCAGTATACTCCAGGAGATTCGACCGTCAGCAAAAAGTACTTTTCTTCATCAGCTAGTACTGGTTCGAGTCTTTCATGGCCAGCTTCTTCATTTGGAGCTCACTCGGCAGCTTGATGTCGTAAGCCAACCCTATGGCTTGAAGGAACCTCAGCACGTACCATGTCATGTCGATCTGCCACCATTTCAGCCCTTGTCTTGCCGAGTACTTGAAAGCATGGTGATTGTTGTGCCAACCTTCCCCAAATGTCAAGATCGCCACCCACCTGATTCAACCACAAGTAGGGAGTAGTCCCAAATTTGAATTACAAACTTGGTTGATTGATCACTTCAACTAGATTCACCAAACTTTTGTTTGTGTTTTTGTATCCTTTTTTTTCCCACGAAAACCCACCCGAAACGGTGAAAGCGAAACGATGGTATTTGATACTTACCAGTTGTTTCTCGACAGGTCGTTTGTGTTCCACGCTCGAGATCCCCATACGTGAGCGGCCGAGTTGACAAACCACGTGGCGTGGTAAAAGGCCACTACCCTCACCCCCTGATGAAACAATGACTACGGTTAAACAATAGACGAGCACAAAACCGTTTGGTTTACATAAAAAAATTTGTAAGGTTTACTAACTATTAGTTAATATTTAGGTGCTCATAATTAATTCGGGCTACAAATAAGAACGTCGTCATTGTCGTTCTTATGATAATGTGTGAATGTAGAGATCATATATTATATCTTAGATTCAACCTTCTTATCAACAATCATTGTAAAAACATTGTTGTAGGATATATACCTTGACTCTCTTTTTTGTGAAAACAATCAAATATGTACCTTAACTATAATTATGGCACAAAAAATTTATATATATTATAGAAATATATAAATATCCCATAAAAAAAAGAGAGAAATTAAAGGGAGCTAGACTTACAATTCCCCAAACGATGTAGGGCAGTCCACCAAGGGCATACAAGAGAAGGGCAAGTCCCAGTGGGTGGAGGACGTAAGTCCTACGAAGCCACCTGTAGAAGGCCTGGCTCTTCAGGTCTCCAACGTTGTCTCGTTTCCCACACTGCCAAATTCAGTCATTATATTAATTAATTAATCAAAACAATTAACGCCAGTAATTATCATTAGCATTAAATCAAAATCAGAACCATGCAATATTGACTCAGTGTGAATCACCACGTACGTACGTACCTTCTCTCTAATGGCGGCTGAATCGAAGATCCAACTGATGTGACTGTGCCAAAACCCTTCAATGGGGCTGTGTGGATCTCTCTCTGTGTCAGTATATTGATGGTGGAACCTGTGGTTGCTCACCCACGTTAATGGATCCCCCTGGCAAAACACAACATTCACTCACACGTTCAAATATTACTGAATTCGACACATTATTTTTGGACCACACGACACGAATATATTAACGAACGATCCGATTCGCGGTATCGTAATCCGAAATAAATTCATGATGACAACCATCATTAGTAAAACGTGATTGATTTTTACCATTATTAACGAGTGGTTCAGCTATCAACGAAATTGCTCGACTGAAAAATAAGAACTAAAAAGGCATATTTTTATCTCCAACTTCTCTACCGGGCATTTTTGCGACCAGATCAATTGAGTCTAGTCCACTATAGAATCATAGAAAATGCGGCGAGCATCTTTTAAGAATGCATATAGTTACATCCTTCTTTCGTTAGTTAACCCACCTTTTTTCTAAAAGAAATGGCAGTAATTATGGTTTTGAATTTTGATTGTAAGAAAGAGATTTCACGGTGTGTTAGTAGTTAAGTACGAATTATCGCAACCTATCATCAAGAATTCAAGATAAATAAGAATGTATGTTCGTACGAAAATAAAACGAGTTTGTCAAATATTCACGAGATCGAGCCGATCAGAAACCGCAGGCGTCATAGGGTTCGCATTACCTGGAGAGCATGGGCGCCCAAGTAAGCGAACAAGTACTCGAGCCACTTGGGGAGGAGCTTGAAGCTCTGGTGGGCCAGATTCCGATGGTACGAGAAGCAGATTCCGAACATCCCCGTCGCCACGTAGAGCGCCGCCGCCAGCCAAAACGCACCCCAGCTGAAGCAAAACGGCGCGCACATCGCCAGCAAGTGGGCCCCCGCCACGCTGCCCACCGCGATCTTGTCGTACGCATTCGGCTTCCTCGCCTTCTTCACTCGCCGTCCCTCCTCGTCGCTAATGCTCTTCTTCTCCGTCGCTAAAGGTGACAAAGTTGACGCTTTCGTCACTGCTGCCCTCTTCTTATTCCCGTCGCTAATGTTGCTCGCTAGCTGCGGCTCGACCATTGCTGCTGCTTCTCCCACTGCCATTTTTTTTTTTTTTGGGGTTTGTTTTAGTTTGTTGTGGTGAAGGGATGATGTGTTTTCGTTGACAAATGGAATGCATGTATATATAGAGGGAAGGGAGAGACGAGATGTTGAATATTGGGGGCATTTAATTGTCGTTGAGATTGTTGATGGATGATGGTTGTTTTAATGATATATTTTATGGGCATGTTGTAAATTGTTAATTAAGGTGGTGGTGGTAGTGGTAGAAATATCTAACTTATGGACTATATCGGATGATTTTATTTGACAATGCTACTTACAACGAAAATGAAAAATATCTTCTATCCAATCAATTTGGACGAGTGATATTCCCAAGTCGCGTCGGATCTTTTCGCTTGTGATTATTGTGTTCAGGTGGAGTATTAGTTCAATTGTGTATTGATACGAAAATAAAAAAAATATAATGCTAGGGTTCGAACATTGCCTAACCCATAATTTTTTAACATGTGTGTCGTCAAATGAAATTAAAATATTAAATAAAATTATAATTAACTTGTAAACATTTAATTCATGAAGTTCACAATGTCATGGTTTTTACAACGAAGCACGAAAGCTTTTCATATTCTAAAAGATTTGTAAAATACATTCATCGTTTATGTTTCAAATTAAATCTTTTTTATATCCACGACTAAACAAGCATTCATAAATTGGTAAACCGATTCCGAAGATCGTTAATCTTGATGAACTTCATAGTTGAAAAAACACTTTTGCAGCTTGCAGGTGCAACAGGCAAAATCATCACTAACTTAAAAAAACAAGCAAATTAAAGAATAATAAGTATCATTTTCTCTTTCCACTATTCGCATAGCTAGCTCATGAATTTAGAATCCATCAAACCTCTTATCTTCTTCGAAATGATAATGTAGCCCTCGCGTGAAAAATAATTAAAATTTACTTGACAGGTCAGTAGTTTGATTTATCGCGGCCGATGAATATTGGGATTCATCAGGCTTTCTTTTACTTGATTATCCTTCAATTGATTTTGAAGTGTTTTTTTGTTTCTGTTAAAGTAATCTCTCCATATCATTTTAGTATATGGTGTCCAATAACCTCCATCTCTAAACCACGTGATCCACGCCCTAACCCAACCCTGTCATCGAGTTAGCTACCAAAATTAAATTATTCCTTCTGCACTAGCTATATGTATCGGAGTGCCCTCATCAATTGTTAAATGAATGGTATTAAGGTTTCGGTCTACTGATTTTCTGTAACAAAGACCAGATGCAAATTGGAAGAAAAATGGTATCATTATAATTACGAATTAGGGTATATCTAACCTCGGATCTGTCGGGAAAAAGAGAGGTTGTTGGTGATCTTTAATTTGGCTTAGTTTTAATGATTTGGCTTAGTTTAGTGGCTAGCTTCTAGCTTAACAAAACCCAACAACCGTTCTCTGGCCAATATAATCTCAAAAGTTGGCAATCACCCAAAGATATATTTGTATCCAAGGAAAATTGATCTCTCCAAAATTTTGGGTTTTATAATGGGAAGTACAAGTATTTATGTTAGAATAATATCGCCCACGGTTCTCAAAAAACCAGAAAACCATGTGCTCGATCGACTAGAAACTTGCACCAACTCCTATTAAGTTGAATATATATAGCTGAAGGGTGTTTAAGAAGGTGGCTCACCCTATTTATTAAGAAACCAATGGGCTTTCTTTAATGAATTGGGTAAGAGAATGTTATAAAACAAATTATTGTCATAATTTGAGTTATTAGAATCAAATCATTGTTTGATATAGGTGTTAGAGTTTTTGATAATTGAGATGTGTTTTTGAATCATGATTTTTTATGAAAGAAACAATTTCTTGTTTTTCGTCGATGATTGGGCTTAAACTCCCATTTTTTCCAAAGAAATAGAGGATCCCGACGAAACTGCTGCATGTGAAATATAAGAGATTCAAATTGATGGAGAGGGAAAAGAAACTAAGGATAAATTTCATTATCACTTTCTAGAGTGGAATCAAGCCTCTGAGCGGCTTCATCCTTCACTTAAGCTCAACCAGACACTCGTTCTGCGATGACATGTTGCTTTGACTTGAAGTCGGTTTATCCATCGTTGAATGCAAGTATACACATTTGTTTTACTGTTAAGGGTATGGTATATAACTTTTTTCTCTTTTCATGTTGGATTAGGGTTGGGCCGTGTGAGAAAGTGTGTTATATATTTCTCTCAATTCCTCAGCTCAAGTGTAGTGAAACTAGTCTCTCATATTAATGGAGTAGCTAACACACACCGTATTAGTGAATCACATAAATATGCACGTTTTTTTTTACTTTCTTGCATTGTCGATTTCTACAAGAGAAAAATGTTAGTGGAATAACTATGATGACAACTGAAAATGATCTCATGGAGAATATAAAAATTAGAGAGATAATAGATAATACTATTTTAAACGATGTTAGAAAGATATTACAGTTCATGTAATGATGATATAATCATTTTAATTTTATTATATTTAAAAGTCAATTTGAACCACATCTCAAGTTTGGAACGAGGCTTCCACGATCTATTAGCCGCCGGTTCTATGTACATTCTGACAGATACCTCGATCATATCCACTATGATATATATACCAATAAATACATAAAAATTTGAATGTAAGGCATTTTCATATTCCTGAACTTTATCCAATTAGAACTAGTTGTCATCATGTCATGAATGAACAGAGTTAAATTGGGACATACATGAAGATCGAATTGCCAATCTCTCACCGTCGCCCACCTTCATATATATAGTTCCACCGGTATCACATGCAAAACTTTATGGCCTCAACATTCCCCGTAGAGACTAATTTAATTAACAAAGGCCATGTCGGCAAACTGGATTCGTTTCAATGTCTAGATATAAATGGTATGTGTCCATAATAGTACCGAGGAGAGGTTGGTGACTACTGATTATCATGGTTTCTGTTTATTGACCTATTATATACGGGGCAAGAAACACAACAGAAAGGACATTATTACCTGTCTATATTGTCATACAGGTGGCATGCGGGTGAGAATTGGGTTCAACCTATACCGGTTATAAAATCGAGTGATGAAATACTTCTTGTATGACCAACTTCCAACCCCCTGTTCATTTTAGTTCTTGGTTTCGCTCTTAGAACATCATACGATCATCACATATCGATTTAAACTTTCGTAGAAAAGTTTTCTAATCGAATCACGTAGAATTTCAAAATCCTAGTTAGTCAGCCGGTCGCGACGACATTATCCTAACCCCCACATTAATTTTTACAGCAAAAATGGGGAAACGAGTTTGGCGGTTTAAAGTCTTTGTTTTCAACAGAGTATTTATTGTGAAAGTATGGCAGAGGTATAGGTAGCTTGCATGTGGGCGGTGAATTATAACGTGTGTGGGATTGGGAATTGGTGCATGCATGGTCTCCAAAAAAAAAAACGACTTTCCTTCAAGAATTTAATTTTACTCATTGAGCCTGGAGAAATCTGTCTTCATCAGGAGCGTTGGGAAACAGCTAAGCGTTGAGTAATCTGCCACCATCAAATTTAAAGTGTTACCATACTGTTGTCATTACCATCCCACGGGACCAACATGATCATCAATGAACGTGGTGGGAATTTAGCACCATTTCTCGGGACTGTCTCATCGCATGCATGCAGAGGGGTTACTGGTAGGGATGGCAGTGAGTCAGGTTGGTTCTGGTTTCGCTAAACGCAAATTTAATCCAGTGAGTGCATTCTTTGAAAAAACACGGTAAATTACCAATTGTGTTTTGAAAGAGCAAACCCAACTCATTCCAACGGGTACTTATGGGTTCACGAACATATATACCTATGCATTATTTCTTCGAAAAACACATCGTAATATTATTGAAAATTTTCCTCCAAGTATATCTATATAAGGATTAATAACTTTCATAAATTATCCATACGGTCAGGTTCATATTAATGCAATTTCCCCATTATATATAAAAAAAACTTATCCACATTTCATGGTAAATACAAAAATTATGTCATGTTGGTGTTTGGGTATGGGACGAGTGGAAAGTGAGTTGGGTTTTGGCAAAACCCAAATCCAACCCGCCAATTTTGGAAAACCTGAGCCCTACCCAAATCCGTCAACAATATTGTGTTTTACACGCTTTGATCGAATTGAACCGGGTTGGGTACCAAGATTATCCTGGTTCAATTGCCATCGCTATCTAGTTACTTGCCTCAGCTGCAATGTGGGACTCTTTTAATGAAAACTTGGTATACATCTTGTAGCTTTAGGTTCTGTTCGAGCCTAGCTTATTGAATGAAGCTCCCTCAACTTGCAATATTCCAGCTGCAAGGAATTTTCTCATCTTCAACGACCCTATCGAAAAGGAATACCAAATCAGCTAAGAACGAAAGAAAAAAATTGCCATCAGCATTCATATGCCTGACGTTGATGGTTTGAGCCCATACCTCTTTGGTCGACGAAAATCCTTTCAAACTATATCCAAGTTCGTTCATTTTTTTTTTTTCTTGTTGTTTCTGCCCCTACCACAATTTAGCTATAAGATTCTGTATTCCACGTAGCGCTCCTACTAGAATCATAACTACGGAAATGATGAATGTAGTTTGAGCTTGAGTTACCGATTTATTGGCACCTTCGTGCTTATATCTGAGAACATATTACTTTTTCATAACTTTGTCTTATTTCTCACTCGAGTCAATCAATCAACCTATTACAATCCTCGACCACTTTTGGAAGTAGCTAAAAGTCCAAAATCCTGCAACCATCTATAAACCGCTTGAATAATGTTAAGCCAAACCTCATACTGAAGAACTTCTAAATCACGGAACTCTCCTTCCAAAAATAAACCAATTGTGATGCCTTAGTACAATCTTTGAACATATATCATCCTCCATTCTTTTCATTTTTCTTAATAAAACATGATATTGTTCCGACTCATTTTTTCAAATTACATACGAATCTTGATCGTACCCATAATGAGGCTAGTATGAAAGTTAAAATGACGCCCCTACCCCCCAACAGAATACCTATATGCAGCTTAACTATCATTTTTACATGGGAGCTAAAACTGTGTAGTCGGCCCATATTAAGCTCCTGAACCGGGCTCGGCGGATCTTTCTGAGAACAAACACGGAGCCCATTTGGTGGGCTGGCACCCCCAGTAAGGTAAGCCCAACGAAAAATTCGATCCAATTTTGGAACCCAAAGTCTTCAGTTATGTATTGTGCATGGATACAAATTACAATAGCAACTAGCAAGACGGAAGAAAACAGTAAAGGGGTCGTTTGGATTAGGAATTTAGGGGAAGGATTTTGTTAAAATCCCTCATTTTACAGAATTTTGGCAGAATTATGCGTTTGGGAAGACGAGGGATTTTGAGCAAAAGAAATTTTAAAATTCCTCATATCCAGGTTTTTGAAATAGCTGATGTACCCCAAGTATTTTAAAATCTCTCATTTCTGTTTTTATTCTTCCAACCTTATCCTTCCCTTTCTTCCACTATTCCGGTGGCTATCGTTCCATCCTAAGCTCTTATTCCGCCGCCGACTAATCAATTCCCAATGGCCGGCGTTACAAGACGACGGGACTTCGCGAGCTTCCCAGTGGCTCATCTGAATCGTACGGTACCCACGATTCCTTCCTAAACTGTTATTCCGCCGTCGACCAATCAATTCTCAGGGTTGGTGACTTGGTGTTACAGGACGTGCGGCGTCGACGATAACTCTCCAACAGGGCAAAAGCCCACACACCCATCCGGCCGCAGCTTGGCATCGTCGTCGCTCCGTCGCTTCATTCTCAGGGCAATTCTTCTTCTCCAGGCCTCTCAAATTATCCCATTCTACCTTCCTAGCTTCGGTTGCCCACCGATTTCGTTGCCACCAGTCATCGATTTTGCTACTACCAGTAGCAGCAGCAATAGGTTGATGACGATGATGATATATGCGGCGCGGGGATGATAAATGGGGATTGGGATCTGGATCAACAATTGGGTTCTGTGGATTAAGATTGGGGATGACCGATTGGAAAGAGTAGAGAGAGGAGATAAAACGAAGGGGATTCTTCTTCGTTTGATGGCCTGGGGAGAACGACGATGGCGATTGATTGACGAAGAAGAACAAGTTGCTGATTTTTCAACTCGGAAAATGAAGCATCAGTTCAAATTTGGGTTCTGGGTTGCGATGAAGAAAGAAAGGAAGAAGAGGTTTAGGGCAAAATTGTAATTTCGTTTTATCATTTAAAATCCTTAATTATAAACAAACAAGTTATTTGGTTTAAATCTCTCATTTACATTCCCTGGTTTTTTAAATAAGGAATTTGGACACAAATCCCTCATAATCCAAGTTCCTAATCCAAACGACCCCTTTGGATATTTGGATTCGCCGAGTCATAGATTCCACAGAATTTTGTATTTCTTTTTGAGCCTTTTGTATACCGAATTGTTCTTCATCCTCTAGGCTGATTCTTCACTTTCATAATTTACCGGGTAATCATCAAAATTGAATTGGTCACATCCCTATGTACCAAGTGGCAGGCAAAAAAAAAAAAAAAAAAAATCTTTACCCACCAGTTTTTCTTCACATTTTGTCTTCGGGAATGAGTTGTGGCCAGCGAATCTAGTCATGGAAAGGTCAATTTTCTTATGGGGAAAGTGTAAATTGGTAAAGCTACTACTGGTAGGGTTCTTATTTTCTTCTCCAAGTTGATGCAAAATCTGCGAGCAAGGAAGAAAGACCATTTCCCACCTCTCGTTTCGCACTAATTAGACGACTGAGTGTTCAATATTGGGGTTGTTAATTATGAACTAATTATTATTCAAGTTAATTATTTCGATATTGGGGTTTGTTAATTATTGCAATTTGAATTATGTCACCCTATTCAACGAATGTAATCTGATTAGTCTGGTTTTAAACCAATGCCTCATTTGAAAGTTATTGTAAGTGTTGTATTTATAGAATACATGCATTATCCACAATACAACGTTTGGAATTATCAAAATGTGAAACAATGCATGTATTGTTTTGTGTGGGTCTCACCTACAATCACAAATTAAAGTTGTGATTGTTGAATTTAGAGTTGGGCCCTTTTATTTTTTTCACTTATATCCATAGTAATTTTTATTTTATATTAAAATTTGAGGGCAAATATGAAATTTCTTCATAAAGTAATTTTATGACAATAAATCCGTAAATAATAATCCCAATAACCAAACATTATAATATTAAATTGTAGGACTTTGCTACGGTGACTTGCAAGTCACCATAACTTGGACAAAACGGTCGACCTCTTCACTGATATGATCGACCTATTTGGACAAAATGGTCGACCTCTTTGCTGGAATGGTCGACCAGATGTACTATTTTTTATTTTGCTATGTTCAACAAACGGTCCACCTCTTCCACTAAAAGGTCGAGCACTTTATAAGAAAACGGTATACGTCTTTCACCAAGCGGTCCGCCGCTTTCAATAACCGATCGACCTGATGAACCATTGCTAGTGATATAATCATAAATAATTAGTATCCAATAATAATAGATATGCTTTCTAGTAATAGATTGAAATTAGTACAAAGGATGCAAGCATAGATGGCAAGTTTCTCGAGTGATTGTTCTCTCATAGAATTGAAAAATGTTTTGCATATTTATTTCTTGTATTTGACTTACTTTGTAGATACTTTCATCTTTCCTTCAAATTCTAAGTTTCTTGTTTTTTATCTTATCATTGTCTTGTGATCGGTTGCCTCAAGTGGTAGACCACTTGGTAGAAGTGGTAGACCATTTTCTTAGAAATTGATCTACCACTTGGTGGAAGAGGTCGACCACTTGAAGGTAAGTATGTCTTCAGGCCGACCCATTTCCGAAAGCGGTAGACCGGTTGACTCAAGCGGTGGACCACTTGATGGAAGTGGTAGACCATTTCCTTGAAAAGTGGCCGACCATTGGTGGAAGAGGTCTACCACTTGAAGGTAAGTGTATCATTAGTTCGACCTATTTTCGAAAGCAGTAGACCGGTTGACTCAAGTGGTAGACCACGTGATGGAAGAGGTCAACCATTTTTTTTGAAAGTGGTCAACCACTTAAGGGAAGAGGTCGACCGTTTTCTCCAAGTTATGGTGAAATTGCAAGTCACCAACTCACCATAGGTATACCCTAAATTGTATCAATGCATGTATAATGTATTCATATCATATTGATTCATAACAATACAACGATTTAACATACACAACTTCCATTCCACGCTTAAAGTGTATTCTCTGCTCTCAAAATCAATAATGTACCACAGACAGGGGCGGACCCAAGTGGTTCAATGGTTTGTCAATTGACAAACCTTGTTAAAAAATTTTGGACAATAAATTTGTACAAAATTTCATTTTAGTGATGGTAGTATTTGAATTTGAGATTATTTGACAACCTCTAAAAATTTTGATTTATCGTTGAATACTTTTGATAAAAATTCTGGGTCCGCCACTAACCACAGACCACCCAATATAGTTTTGCTTTTGGGCCAATATTAATTAAATACGTAGCTGTGTACATGAATTAGAAGCAAAACTAAAAGAGCCATCGAAGAGCCAAAATTGAACTTTACTATTTGGTTGAGAGAGGTATAGAGGGGAGACTGGGAAGAGAGACTGCGATTATGAAGAAGCTTCATCTTACCTTCCTTCTCTTCTCTTTATTTGTCGGGGGGACACAAGTCGAAATGGACTCGCTGCAGAGTCCATCCGATATGACGTCATTCGTTATGTCATGTTTGACCAACCTCATATTATCATATACAACCTCAGTACTGTCTTATCCAAGAGTCACTAGGATCACAGATTGTTTAGCAAAAATAAAATGAATTTGTTAAGTATGCATATTTGCTTAGCTTGAATTTGGGTGCAAATCCGTTCACTCTTGTCATGAAATTCTATCTGTTGTTGATGGAAAGTTGCAAGAATTTTGCTTTCTGTTAATGAGTTGGGGGTTTAAGTGCAAAACATACGGTATGGGAAAATTAAGAGCGCAGCGTGACCTCTCGATTTATTAGTGCATGAACTTGTATACTTAAACTTAATCGATTATACTTCTATCTTTGTTCATTTCCATATTGGATTATGTGTATTTATGGTTGTTCCGTTTAAGAACCGAAGGAAGTGCTTATATAAACATTCACATCCTCCTCTCTCCTTAATTTGTATGCTCCTCAATATTGTGAAATTGATATTTCCTATTGTGAACTTGGTAACACATATCGTATTAGTGAACCACGCAAATTTATATGTTCATGATTTTTTTTAGATTGTCGATTGCCCATTATGTTATAACAAAAAGTCAACCCATGGGTTCACTCGCAGGTTAACAACCTTGGTGTTAACATGGTACAAATTGCCTAACCGACGCAACCCATCTGACTCACTTAACTACTAACTCCTTGATTGAATTGTTTTTCTTATAAGGTGATATATGTTGATTTTTATTTAGGTGCTACCTAAGCGATCTGAACCTAAGACCTCCAAGTTCAAAACCAGTGAGATTACCAATGGACCAAACTCTTGTTAGTATATTTGATTGTATTGTTTCAAAAGTGTGGATAGTGCAGGATCTATTAGTTAGTTGGTTTATGCATTAGTTTGGAGATGTTACTAGTTAGCTACCTTACTGGTCAATTGATTTTCAGCTTAAATAAATTATGATCCGTTATTATGTAACTCGAGTTATTGGCAAGACGAATTGTACGGGTTACTCATCATATCATATGAACACATTTCCAAAGTACATCTTTGGCTCCACTAACATTATATTCATGTGAATATCTCTATTCCAAAAAAACAATGAGTTTGTTTAGGACCCATTTTTTAAGCTTCAACTAACATACCTTTGTACTTTCTGGCACTTGATCTGAACTCCATTAATTAAGAAACGTGGTCAAGGGCTTGCCCATGTTAATCCATGACCCACTTTCCTGATGTACTTTTGGGCAAAATGACATCATCACCACCATCATCACCACCGTCCACATCCCCTGAATCAGATTCCTTTAAAGCTTTCACTTTGACCTTTGAAAATATTGACTTTCCCCACTCTTCCACCGTTTTGACTTTCCCCCAATTCCTTCAACCTATATATAAACCCGCCCCAACTTCCCCTGTTTTTTCATCAAGTCTCCCCTGTTCCCACCAAAACAAAAGATTCAAACTTTTCCCGGCTAAAACCCTCAAACTATGAGCAGCGACGGCGTGGCCGGCGGCGGGGAAGATGAGAGGAAGTACAAAGGAGTCCGGCGCCGGAAATGGGGGAAATGGGTGTCGGAGATTCGGGTCCCGGGGACCCAGGAACGGCTCTGGCTCGGATCCTACTCTTCCCCTGAAGCTGCAGCGGTGGCGCACGACATTGCTTCATACTGCCTCAGAGGGTGTTCGTCGCAGAAGGGATTCAATTTCCCGCTGACGTCACTTCCGGCGAGCGTCCGGCCGGACATGTCGCCGAAGTCCGTGCAGATGGCGGCTTCAGATGCAGGGATGGCCGTGGATGCGCGGATGATACTGCGGAATTCGTCATCCCCGCCGAGGCCCGCCCCGGAGACGTCGTCAGAGATGTCCTGGGGCGGCCGTGGCGGGAGTTGGGAAGGGGACGGAATGGGAGCCGGAAGTTCGGCCGGAGGCGATGGACTGAATTTATCGGTAGAAGACTATTTCTGAGAAAGTAAGTGGTAGCTCTCCGATCAGAAATTGGGAGGCGCCAAAGGAGAAAGGGATTAGAAATTATACATTAATTATTGGTGTATTTTGCGGCAAATTGCCAAATAATTTTCTCCGGCCGGAAAAAAAACTTGCCGGCTATTTGGCTAATGTTCGAGTCGCCGACTTGCCGGCTCTAATTAAAGAGACGGACGTGGATGGTAATTATTAATTCAGATGCTATAGTGGATTTTCTATTGCACGTTTATCCATTCATCACCACGTGTTGGACCGTGCTTGCAATGGTTCCTTCCAGATCCTACCAAATTCGTGATAACTTCGACTTAATAGCGAAAAATATTTTAGGACTAAAAAAGGATCGTCATTGCTTTCTCCAATTTGGTGTTGTTTGATTTGGTATCAATGTCAATTTGGTTAATTTTTTCAGTGTTTACAAGACTCATGGGACTAAGAACCGAACTGTATTATATCCGGTTCAGTATGGTTTAATCCAATCCGGTACGAAACAAATTGTTGTACCTCTAATTGTGATCAACTTGAACGGACAATATGAGATCAAACCAAATATAGTTCGATTTATTCTTATGCGTCATGGATTTTCATAAAAATATAGGTGCATATATTGAATTAGAATTGAATCAACTTAATTAAGCAATTATACTTATTCAATTTCTTTCAAGATATTTCTTTATTTTGGGTATAGACGTCAGACGATTCGATTCTGGACCAGACTGGATCATATCCATCCCAACAACAAAATATGCAGCTCATATTGAGTTAAAAAAAAACTTGAAATCAAGAGACGGTATCCGAAAAACTTGTCAAGCGTTGATTCATCCCAATAATTTGAATTATTACGAGTGATCCAATATCGTTAAACACGACTTTCTTCCGGTCTTTTGTTTTCATTAAGCAGTAGATATGATATCAATCTTAAAATCACAAATCTGAACTTAAAATAAAACTCATATATCATCATGATTGAGCCAACGATGAGACCAACCTTGCAACTTTCTATAGGACTCAAATGAGAGGTTGAGATTCCTTGAAGGAGGACAGAATTAATTTAAGGATGACTTTCTCTGTTTTGTTGACTGATATGAGCTTATGGGCTCAAGTTTTCTAGGTTTGGCATTTTGCAGTGATTGTGATGGCGGCAAATCAAGTTAATTAGCCACCGCGGCAGCCCAACGTAACCCGCGGGCCGCCCGCGGCTTAATATATTGTTTGGTTCCATAATGTCCGTTCTCCGACTGCAAGCTGTCTGGCGGCCGATATCGACGCGGCAAAACGGTTCCTTTCATTCTCTTCTTTCACTTCAAAGAAAATACAGAGTACATTGACCGACTCTTTTTTTCTTACAACAACATTGACCGACTCTAGAAGCACATTAATGTGGGCGATTCTATGCGTAAACCCTCGAATTTAGGCGGATACAACATTGCTTGTCGTCGATGTAACGTATGAGTTTGAAGTTCGCACATCTATGTTATGTGTTTTTTTTAGCAATTGTTAATATGAGACGTCACAGTAAAAAGTATATTTTTTTTATACTATATATCGACAAACCAATATGTCATAATAACCCGAGTTGCTGGACGAATACCAATAATAAAATCTTATTTATACAATTTTATTACCGTGACACCCACATTACGTGGATTTAAGACATTCGAATTTAAAAAGTAATATGGGATCGACATTGGCATTCTATGCACCACAAACCCGAATAATAATTAAGCACAATAATTAAACATCTTACAGAACTCGTATTATTGTTCTCTTGATCCATTGTTATTCAAAGTCTGCAATCAGGGATCGATCGATTCGTAAATCTGATCCGAACGAGGAGCTAAAACATTCAACCTGAAAGGATTTCAACCATGACAAAATAATTAGTCCATTAATTAGAGGCAGTAGTAATTATGTTTCTCAAGTCAATTGAGCTGCAGTTCATTAGTAAGTAGTAGACAACTGGATATGATCGGTACCATTGTCAACTTCTTTCAACGGGTATGTGTTTGATTAATGAGATGGCCAATTCCAGTCGGTGATCCTATTCTCACCGTTCGATCTCCGTTTTTCCTACAGTAAAAATTCTCGTCGGTGAATTTAATACTACTACTAATTATATTTATAAGTTAGATCATATGCATGCTACCTGCCACTGCTCTAATCCAAAAGTGATTTTGACAATAAAATTTCATGGACGGGAGGGATAGGGTGGTGAAACGTACATTGATAATTGCCAGAAAGGACGGGCGGTGGCCGATCGAGGATCAGTAGCGGAGGAAGAAATCAAAATGAGGGGGAGATTGATTTGACTGTGGTAATTTGGAGGGGGTAATTTGGCCTGTGATTTTACTGATTATTCTATTTTCTAAAATTGTTCTAAAATTTTATATGTAATTTTACCTATATTTTATAGTTGAGTGAAAATATAGTTCGGCATGGTTTCAACATAGCTCCGACACGGTCCAAACGATAATCTAGTCCACTATCCGATTTTTATTTGATTTTTTAATATTTTCTATGGATGATTTGAGAACTAACTGTGCACTATAGTGCTATATATGTCGAGAATAAAACAATTTCAATAATTTAAGTTGTCAAGAGAAATATAATTATATACAAATCTTAAGCTACTAAATTAATCAAAGCCCATGTTTAATGATGAATACATTTTGAAATCAAAGTAGGTAATTTTGCTACGATAAAATGGCGTCGGCCCCATTTCACAGAGAGCGCAGAGGATTTTCATATCCACCATTACATCAAAGTTCTCTTTAAAACACCCTGTGATTGTTATTCAAAAATAAATTGAACTACTACTACTACAACAAAGAGCTTTTAGCGATCAAATGTCACCAAAAACCTTGTAGCGACCGATTTCTTCCTTTCGACTGGTGTTTGTAAAAATTGCGCTGCAGTGGCGGTCCGATTGGGAAACCGTTTTATCGGAAGCTAATCGGTAAATGATTTGTAATAATATGAAATTATTGAACTACAGTTCCGACATGATTTCACACTCCTACGACAACCGTTTTGGCAAACTTTTTTCTTCTTCTTCTTAGCAGCAATTAACCCATTCGGAATCGCATTCACCACTTGTCCTCTCGACCGGAGAAAGAAAGAAAGAAAGAAAGAAAGAAAGAAAGAGAATTCGTAGTAATCGAAAGTGAGATGGATGGATGGACCGAGTCCGGTCCATTTCTCAAGCTTGACAATTTTGAAGTCACGTCGCGCCCATGCAGTGGTTAATTATCAGCTCATCTTTCAACTGATTCATTCATTCATTCATTCATGTGCAGAATCATGTCGGCCGGGCAGCTGGCTTCTTAATTTCAACCAACTTGATGCCAACGAGGCAATGACTTCTTTGAATTCACATTTTGTTCTTTTGTTCATCGTAAAAATACTAGTACATTTCGTTTAGATCAAGAAAAGAACCACCACAAAGCCAGGGAGGATAATCGAACTCGTATTCACGGATATTCAACCTGATTCAACACGATAAAAACAGGTAAAATTCAGTGTTGACGAATTTCGGTTTGGATAAGAGTTTTACTCGCTTTTAAAATTGGTGGGTTAAATCGAATTTGAGTTTGCCAAAACTCAATTCGCTTTCCATATCCGACCTGCACCGCTAAAGCCAAATGATGTCGTTTTGTACCTACCAGAAACAATATGAACAATTTATATAACAATATAAACCTAATAACATAGATGATTTGTGGATGTTAGTATTTTTTTATGGACATAGATTAAGTTGTAGGAAATATTTCGATAACATTATGATATTTGTGTTCAAACGAAATAAGTCGGTTGTACAATGATCCAGTACGAACCAACTCAAACCATATTAACCACAATCAAATAGTCAAAAGTCAAAGATATCTTAGAATAAATAATTGGAGAATCATAGTAACCGGTCCAACTTAGCCCCAAGTTTTGTCAATTCTTCTTCAGTGTTATGAAGTTTATAGAAGCATGAAATATGCAACATTACAGCCAATTCATGGATCAAGGAGCATACTAACATTATGATATTGTTTGCTTGTGGGATTTGAGTGATGTATTTGGTACTCAAATACCAAACATTATGTATTTGTCAAAATAATATTGTTTGTTGAGGTATACAAATCTGTGGTGTCCACGGATTTGGTCCTTTTTTAGTTCCAAATTCGTGGACCCCATGTATTTGCAAATACCACATTTCATTTGGTATTTGGTCATGAAAAGCAAAGTTTTGTGAGCCATAGTGCAAAAACCTTTAAATTCATGATCAAAATGAACTAAACAAACAATGTTATCTTTCAAATACAAAATGCAACATATCCATCATAAATCTAAAGGTTTTCAAAACTCAAAACCTTCATTTACTAAATCCAACAAGCAAACGAGTCCGATACAAATATCGATTTGTCACCCTGAAAATAAGTGAAATTGTATCAAAGTAAGTCCCTATTTCAAGAAACTGAAATTAGACCCATCAATAACCATCCATACTAAATCACACTTGAAAACCCCACCTCTAACACAAGAAACCGTGAAGATTATTTATGACCAATATCTCACTTATTACAAGTCATGAAAACAAAAGAAACAATCAAATAAGAGCACAAAATCAACAAGTATATACTCATGGAGGGAGATCACCTTGTTCACTCAGGTACTGTCCAGTTACTATCACTCAAGTTTATGCATCTGCACCGGACTACTTCTCGACGACGAGAACGAGACGGGACCACCGGAAGGACCAGCAAGGATCCTTCGTGGCGGCGATGAGCTCCATGGCGAGCTCGATGATTCCGACCTCCTCCATGGCGAGCTCGATGGTTCCGACCTTCGTGGCGAGCTCGCCCCGGATTCCAACAACAACGGCCTCCCCGTCCCCATAAGAGACATCCTCCTTGTTCCGTGGGAGGCAAGCAGCTGCCGGAGCGTCCAATTGAGGACGCCTGAGGCGAAGTACCTGTAGACGAGGAAGATGTCGTACCAGCTCGGGTACTTCACGTAGTGATCCCCACGACAAGCCCCCGACACGATCATCTTCGCGTAGTCCTCGATTGGACCGCCGCTCCCATTCACCTAAATCAAAGAAAATTGGAGTAAGATTTGCAATGTAGTAGTGGTGGAGATGTGAAATGTGCACATTTTTGTGAGGGTTTCAAGGATTTAGTGCCTCTCTTTCTTCTCTCCACTGCATCTCGGCGCCTTCCTCTAGCATGAACTTGCCCCCACTCATTTCGCTGCCGGCGATCCAACCGTGCGTGGCGATTGTGACCCCGACCTCATCGTTCATTTCAAATCTCAGAGTGTCGTAGAAGTTTATGAGAGCAGCCTTAGCAGCCTAGAAAATGAAATAATTTCCATAATCAACACTAAGGACATTCATTTGGTAAATGAATCCTTCTGTAAGTATCACATCTGAGTACCGAACTCGATATTTGAGTCAATCAGCACCAAACTTGGCCTAACTACTAGTGACCATTACTCCATTAGTGTTCATATCTATCCTATCCTAGCCTCATCAGTTCTGATTATGTTAGTTACTAGGGGATGACACATCAACGTCCGAAACGAATATTGCTAATGGTGATCAGTTGTCAAGACGAGTTTGTTGCTTTAGTTGTCTCAATACTAGAGTACAATGTGAAGCATATAGGCGAGTTTAGCCACTGAATTGGGCGTTTAGCCCCCTGATTTACACCCTAGGAACAATAGCGCGTAATCACTCACCGCGTATAAGCTCATCCTTGGAAGAGGCAACCAGGTCTCGACTGCAGCATTTACAACGATTCGTCCATTGGTCTGATGGAGGTGAGGCAGAGCAACATAAGTTGGATAGACATTCCCCCAGAAGTTGATGTCCTGGAAAGAAACAAGGTGAAAAGCAATAGCAATTTATAAGTCAAGATTACCAAACTTCAGAAATGTACTAATCATCATCTGCAAGTTACTAACTAGGCTAAATTACGACCCGAGTTGACTACCAGCAAATGCGGGAAAATGGAGGTGTCCGCTGCTTCTTCCAAGTAGAATGTGTGCCCCAAGCTCACTGTGTTCACCAAATGATCCACTGCATTTGGGGTAAAAAAAAGGCAGCCAATAATGACAACTATGGATTTGGGATCAACTAAGCTCTTTATGTCTAGCTAATCGATTCGTGTACTTACAACGACCATAGTAGCTCACAGCCTGGTTGATGAATCTCCTGCACTCGTCTTCCTTCACAACATCTGCCCCCACGATCATGACATGCTTCGCGCCCAAAGCTCTAGCCTTCTCGCTTATCCCCTGGAGCCTATTCTCTCTCCGTGCAACCAGTACAAGATTCACCCTCCTTTTCGCATACTCATACGCAATTTGCTACATTGTTCGAGATCAAGTAACACAGTCAGGAATTGGCATTATGTTCTCAACGAGGGATAAAATGAAATTACTCCACCCGCGATCATGACTCGTCCTATTGGCTAGCAAAACTAAAGCCCCCTTGTAAAATTCATGGCAATGGCAACCATTTCTCATCCAATTTGCACTAAAATTTCCCTCCTTTCTACCTAATTAAGGTCCTATTTCAACGATTAGCCCCTTAATCTCTTTCAATCCAACCTTAACTCAACTGCCTAGTTACCAAAAATGCAGGGGATGCTCTGTTTTCTTGTACTGATCTTCATTACAAATCAGCCCAACATAAAGTACCAAAATTTCTCTCATGCAATCAAACTGGTGAACAAATTCGGCTACAATTGAGATGAATTCAATGTCAAAAAGTGGTCTTGTTACCTCCCCAATGCCAGAAGAAGCCCCGGTGACAATCACAACTTTGTACTCCATGTCTTCACTATGGAAGTTCTTGTAGAGCCACTCGCAGGTGTTGATGAAGCACAGCGCCGGCCAGGCGCAAGCCATCACCACCAGGCTCGCCGGCGGCACAAAGAAATTCATCACCGAGTTTACCATGCCCATCATCACCATTTTTACTTACAAGAGATGGGTTATTTGCTCTGTTTTTTGGCAGAGGGATAATGAAGGGAAGTATCGGATAAAGATGGTGATCAGAAGTGAAGAGAGAGAGTGAATGGACAGATGGGGTTGTGGGAGAGATATGAAAGAACAAATTTGCATGCATAGGAAAGAATTGAGAGAGTACACGTGTTGTGAACCCACTTACTGTGAATGAATATCGTGCCCTGTTTCTCTGGCGACGATGACTGGAGGGGAAAAGGCAAAGACAGAGGCTTTTTTGGATGATGGGGTTTTGGGTTTTAAGTTGATCTTTTAGTGACGACATGGCGGTTTCTGGTTTCTGGCTTCTGGTGAAGTACATTTTTTCTCCTGGCTGACTGTATCTTTCAAAATCAAAAAGAAAATGACAATTCAGGAAAATCGTCTGAAATCTGTGAAGGGTATCCCTTCGGAGTCTGTAAAAAATGAACCCGAAATAAATCCGTCCAAATCGATGCTTAATGGACTAAATCATCATTGAAGAATAGCTTTAAGCCGAATTCGTGATCTGTGGCCTTCAAAATATAAGGAAAAAGGCATTTCGAAAAATTGCCCCAAAAGATACGAAAATGGCAAAATGTCATCCGAAAATGAGTTCGCCCAAATCGGTGCTCAATAGACTTAATAATCGGTGGATAATAGGATCAATAGACTTTATTATCGGTGGAGAATATCATCGGGCTAAACCTTTGATCTATCCTTCAGAATTGAAAGAAAATGGCATTTTGGAAAAATTGCCCGAAATCCATGATGGTTCCCCTTTGGAGTCTTCCAAACATGGACCCAGAAGAAATCCGCCCAAATCATTGCTTAATGGACTTAATCATCGTTAAAGAATAGCCTTAGCCCGAATCCATAATCTGTAGCCTTCAAAGTACAAGTAAAATGACCTTTCGAAAAACATAGCCCCAAAAGCTACAAAAATGACATGCGATATTGAATTCGCCCAAATTGGTGCTTAATGGACTTAATCACCAGTGGAGAATAGGATCAATAGAATTAAATATCGGTGGAGAATAGCCTCGGGCTGAATCCGTGATATGTTTTCTTCAAAATCGAAAGAAAATGGCAATTCGGGAAAATCGACCAAAATCTGTGAAGGTACCCCTTCGGAGTCTGCCAAAAATGGACCCGAAACAAATTCGCCTAAATCGATGCTTAATGGACTAAATCATCAGTGAAGAATAGCCTCAGGCAGAATGCGGGATCTGTGGCCTTCAAAATACAAGGAAAATGGCCGTTCGAAATAATCGCCCAAAACATTATAAAAAAGTCATCCGAAAATGAATTCGTCCAAGTCGATACTTAATGGACTTAATCGTCAGGGGAGAATAGGATCAATAGACTTCATAATCGGTGGCGATTAGCCTCGGGATGATTCCGTGATTTTTATCCATCAAAATCGAAAGAAGATGACATTTCGGGAAAATCTCTCGAAATCTATGATGGTACCCCTTTGTAGTCTTCCAAAAATGGTCCCGGAACAAATCCATCCAAATCGATGGTTAATGGACTTAATCATCGTTGAAGAATAGCCTCAGGCGGAATCCGTAATCTGTTGCCTTCAAAATACAAGGAAAATGGCATTTCGAAAAACATTGCCCCAAAAACTACGAAAATGCTATCCGATAAAAAATTCGTCCAAATTGGAGCTTAATGGACTAAATCACCGGTGGAGAATAGGACCAATAGACTTCAATATCGGTGGAGAATAGCCTCAGATTGGATCCGTAATCTGTATCCTTCAAAATCGAAAGAAAATAGCAATTCGGGAAAATCGCCTGAAGTTTGTGAAGGTACCCCTTCCGAGTCTATAAAAAATGGACCGGGAACAAATTCACTCAAATCGATGCTTAATGGACAAAATCATCGTTGAAGAATAGCATCCATATTTGTGATCTATGGCCTTCAAAATACTAGGAAAATGGCATTTCGGAAAAATGGCCTGAAATCCGTGATTGTACCCTTTAGGAGTCTTCCAAAAATGGACCCGGAAGAAATCCGCCCAAAATCGAAGCTTAATGGACTTTATTTTTGTTGAATAATAGCCTTAGGCCAAATTCGTGATCTGTGGCCTTCAAAATTCACGGAAAATGGCATTTCGAAAAACATCACCCCAAAAGATACGAAAATGTCATCCGAAAATGAATTCACCCAAATCGGTGTTAATAGACTAAATCATTGATGGAGAATAGGATTAATAGACTTCATTATCAGTGGTGAATAGACTCGGGCTAAATTCGTTATCTATATCCTTCAAAATCGAAAGAAAATGCTATTTTGGGAAAATCCGCCCAAATCGATATTTAATAGACTTAATCATCGTTGAAGACTAGCCTTAGGTTGAATCTGTAATTTGTAGCCTTCAGAATTCAAGGAAAATGGCCATTAAAAAAACATTGCCAAAAAAACTACGAAAATGTCATCCGATAAGGAATTTGTCCAAATTGGTGTTTAATGGACTTAATCACTGGTGGAGAATACGATCAATAGACTTCAATATCGATGGAGAATAACCTCAGGCTGAATCCGTGATCTGTATCCTCCAAAATCTAAAGAAATTGCAATTCGGGAAAATCGCCGGAAATTTGTGAATATGCCCCTTTGGAATCTGCCAAAAATGGACCCAGAATAAATTCGCCCAAATCGGCGCTTAATGGACTTAATCATCGTTGAAGAATAGCCTTAGGCCGAATCCGTGATCTATAGCCTTCAATATCCAAAGAAAATGGCCTTTCGTCGCCCCAAAAATTACGAAAATTCCATCCGAAAATAAATTGGCCCAAATCGGTGCTTAATGGACTTATCATCCATGGACAATACGATCAATAGAGGACATTATTGGTGTAGAATTGCCTCTGCCTGATTCTGGGATCTGCAGCCGCCAAAATCCAAAGAAAATGGCCTTTCGACGCCAAAAAATATTACGAAAATACCTTCTAAAAATAAATTGGCACAAATCGGTGCTTAATGGACTTATCATCCGAGGAGAATAGGATCAATAGACTTCATTATCGGTGGAGAATAGCCTCGGCCTGATTCCGTGATCTGCTGCCTCCAGAATCGAAAGAAAACGGCATTTCGGAAAAATCACTTAAATTTGTGATGGTACCCCTTTGTAATCTGCCAAAAATGGTCCCGGAATAAATTCGCCCAAATCGGCGCTTAATGGAATTAATCATCGTTGAAGAATAGCCTCAGGCCAAATTCCGAATCTATAGCCTTAAAAATCCAAAGAAAATGGTCTTTCGTAGCCCAAAAAATTACGAAAATGCCATCCGAAAATAATTTGGCACAAATCGGTGCTTAATAGACTCATCATTCGTGCATAATAGGATCAATAGACTTCATTATCTGTTGATAATAGCCTCGGCCTGATTCGGTGATTTGCAGCCTCCAAAGTAAAAAAAAAATCGCATTTCGGAAAAATCGCCCGAAATCTGTGATGGTACCCCTTTTGAATCTGCCAAAAATGGACCCAGAATAAATTCAGTCAAATCGGTGCTTAATGGACTTAATCATCGTTGAAGAATAGCCTCAGGCAGAAAAAGTGATATGAAGCCTTCAAAATCCAAAGAAAATGGCCTTCCGACGCTAAAAAAATTACGAAAATGCCATCCGAAAATAAATTGGCACAAATTGGTGCTTAATGGAGTTATCATCCGTGGAGAATAGGATCAATAGACTTCATTATCGGTAGAGAATAGCCTCGGCCTGATTCCGTGATTAGCAGCCTCTAGATTCGAAAAAATGGCATTATGGAAAAATTGCCCGAAATCTGTGATAGTACCCCCTTTGGAATCTTCCAAAAATGGACACGGAATAAATTCCCCCAAATCGCCGCTTAATGGACTTAATCATCGTGTAAGAATAGCCTTAGGCCGAATTCGTGATCTGTAGCTTTCAAATTCCAAAGAATATGGCCTTTCGACGCCCAAAAAATTACGAAAATGCCATCTGAAAATAAATTGGCCATAATCGGTGCTTAATGGACTTATCATCCGTGGAGAATAGGATCAATAGACTTCATTATCGGTGAAGAATAGCCCCGGCCTGATTCTGTGATCTGCAGCCTCCAAATCTAAAGAAAATGATATTTCGGAAAAATCGCCTGAAATCTGTGATGGTACCCTGTTGGAATCTGTAAAAAATGGAACCGGAATAAATTCGCCCAAATCGGCGCTTAATGGACTTAATCATCGTGGAAGAATAGCATGAGGCAGAATCTGTGATCTGTAGCATTCAAAATCAAAGAAAATGGCCTTTCGACGCCCAAAAAAATACGAAAATGCCATCCGAAAATAAATTTGCCCAAATCGGTGCTTAATGGACTTATCTTCCGAGGAGAATAGGATCAATAGACTTCATTATCGGTGGAGAATAGCCTCGGCCTGATTCCGTGATCTGCAGCCTCCAAAATAGAAAGAAAATGACATTTCGGAAAAATCGCAAGAAATCTGTGATGGTACTCCTTTGGAATCTGCCAAAAATGGACCCGACATAAATTCGCCTAATTCGGCGCTTAATGGACTTAATCATCGTTGAAGAATAGCTTGAGGCCGCATCGGTGATCTGTAGCCTTCAAAATCCAAAGAAAATGGCAGTTCAACTCCCAAAAAATTACGAAAATGCCATCCGAAAATAAATTGGCCCAAATCAGTGCTTAATAGACTTATCATCCGAGGAAAATAGGATCAATAGACTTCATTATCGGTGGAGAATAGCCTAGGCCCGATTCCATGATCTGCAGCCTCCAAAATCGAAAAAATGGCATTTAGGAAAAATCACCCGAAATCTGTGATGGTACCACTTAGGAATCTGCCAAAAATGAACCCGGAATAAATTCACCCAAATCTGAGCATAATGGACTTAATCAACGTTGAATAATAGCCTCAGGCCGAATCCATGAACTGTAGCCTTCAAAATCCAAAGAAACTGGCCTTTCGTCGCCCAAAAAATTACGAAAAATGCCATCAAAAAATAAATTAACCTAAATCAGTGATTAATGGACTTATCATCCGTGGAGAATATGATCAATAGACTTCTTTATCGGTGGATAATAGCCTCAGCCTGATTCTGTGATCTGCAGCCTCCAAATCGAAAGAAAATGGCATTTCGGAAAAATCGCCCGAAACCTGTGATGGTACCCCTTTGGAATCTGTCAAAAATGGACCCGGAATAAATTCGCCTAAATCGGCGCTTAATGGACTTAATCATCGTGGAAGAATAGCCTGAGGCCGAATCCGTGATCTGTAGCCTTCAAAATCGAAATTAAATGGCCTTTCGACGCCCAAAAAATTACGAAAATGCAATCCCAAAATAAATTGGCCCAAATCGGTGCTTAATAGACTTATCATCCGAGGAGAATAGAATCAATAGACTTCATTATCGGTGGGGAATAGCCTTAGGCTGATTCCGTGATATGCAACCTCCAAAATCGAAAGAAAATAACATTTCGGAAAAATCGCTAGAAATCTGTGATGGTACCCCTTTGGAATCTGCCAAAAATGGACCCAGAATAAATTCGCCCATATCGGCGCTTAATGGACTTAATCATTGTTGAAGAAAGCCTCAGGCCAAATTCGTAATTTGTAGTCTTCAAAATCCAAAGAAAATGGCCTTTCGTAGCCCAAAAAAGTACGAAAATACCATCCGAAAATAAATTGACACAAATCGGTGCTTAATGGACTTATCATCCGTGCAGAATAGGATCAATAGACTTCATTATCGGTGGAGAATAGCCTCGGCCTGATTCCGTAATTTGCAGCCTCCAAAGTAAAAAAAAAATGGCATTTCGGAAAAATCGCCCGAAATCTGTGATGGTACCCCTTTGGAATCTGCCAAAAATAGACCCAGAATAAATTCGCCCAAATCGGCACTTAATGGACTTAATCATCGTTGAAAATAGCCTCAGGCCGAATCCGTGATATGTAGCCTTCAAAATCCAAAGAAAATGGTCATTCGACGCCGAAAAAATTACGAAAATGTCATCCGAAAATAAATTGGCCCAAATCGGTGCTTAATGGACCTATCATCCGTGGAGAATAGGATCAATAGACTTCATTATAGGTGGAGAATAGCCTCGCCATGATTCCGTGATTTGCAGCTTCCAGAGTCGAAAAAATGGCATTATGGAAAAATCGCCTGAAATCTGTGATGGTACCCCTTTGAAATATGGCAAAAATGGACCTGGAATAAATTCGCCCAATTTGGCACTTAATGGACTTAATCATCTTGGAAGATTATCCTCAGGGCGAATCCGTGATCTGTAGCCTTAAAAATCCAAAGAAAATGGCCTTTCGACCCCCAAAATATTACGAAAATGCCATCCGGAAATAAATTGGCCCAATTTGGTATCATCCGTGGAGAATAGTATCAATAGACTTCATTATCGGTGGAGAATAGCCTTGGCCTGATTCCGTGATCTGCAGCCTCCAGAATCGAAAGAAAATGAAATTTCGGAAAAATCGCCCAAAATCTGTGATGGACCCCTTTGGAATCTGCCAAAAATGGACCGGGAAGCAATCCGCCCAAATCGGTGCTTGATGGACTTAATCATCGTTGAGGAATAGCCTCAGGCCGAATCCGCCATCTTTAGCCTTCAAAATCCAAGGAAAATGGCATTTCGAAAAAATTTGCCCAAAAAAATTACGAAAATGCTAACCCAAAATAAATTGGTCCAATTTGGTGCTTAATTGACTTAATCATCGGCGCAGAATAGGATCAATAGACTTCATTATCGGTGTAGAATAGCCTCAGCCTGATTCTGTGATATGCAGCCTCCAAATTCGAAAGAAAATGGCATTTTGGAAAAATCGCCAGAAATCTGTGATGGTACCCCTTTAGAATCTACCAAAAATGGAACCGGAATAAATTCGCCTAAATAGGCGCTTAATGGACTTAATCATCGTTGAAGAATAGTCTCAGGCCAAATCCGTGATCTGTAGCCTTCAAAATCCAAAATAAAAAGGCCTTTAGTCGCCCAAAAAATTATGAAAATGCCATCCGAAAATAAATTGGCCCAAATCGGTGCTTAATGGACTTATCATCCGTGGAGAATAGGATCAATAGACTTCATTTTCGGTGGAGAATAGCCTAGGCCTGATTCGCTGATCTGCAGCCTCCAGAATCGAAAGAAAATGACATTTCTGGAAAATCGCCCGAAATGTGTGATGGTACACCTTTGGAATCTGCCAAAAATGGACCCGGAATAAATTCGCCCAAATCGGCGCTTAATGGACTTAATCATCATTGAAGAAAAGGCTCAGGCCAAATTCGTGATCTGTAGCCTTCAAAATCCAAAGAAAATGGCCTTTCGACGCACAAAAAATTACGGAAATACCATCGGAAAATAAATTAACCCAAATCAGTGCTTAATGGACTTATCATCCGTGGAGAATAGGATCAATAGACTTCTTTATCGGTGGATAATAGCCTCAGCCTGATTATGTGATCTGCAGCCTCCAAATCGAAAGAAAATGGCATTTCGGAAAAATCGCTCGAAACCTTTGATGGTACCCCTTTGGAATCTGCCAAAAATGGACCCGGAATAAATTCGCCCAAATCGGCGCTTAATGGACTTAATCATCGTGGAAGAATAGCCTGAGGGCGAATCCGTGATCTGTAGCCTTCAAAATCCAAATAAAATGGTCTTTCGACGCCCAAAAAATTACGAAAATGCAATCCCAAAATAAATTGGCCCAAATCGGTGCTTAATAGACTTATCATCCGAAGAGAATAGAATCGATAGACTTCATTATCGGTGGAGAATAGCCTCAGGCTGATTCCGTGATATGCAACCTCCAAAATCGAAAGAAAATGACAATTCGGAAAAATCACTAGAAATCTGTGATGGTACCCCTTTGGAATCTGCCAAAAATGGACCCAGAATAAATTCGCCCATATCGGCGCTTAATGGACTTAATCATCGTTGAAGAATAGCCTCAGGCCAAATTCGTAATCTGTAGTCTTCAAAATCCAAAGAAAATGGCCTTTCGTAGCCCAAAAATGTACGAAAATACCATCCGAAAATAAATTGACACAAATCGGTGCTTAATGGACTTATCATCCGTGCAGAATAGGATCAATAGACTTCATTATCGGTGGAGAATAGCCTCGGCCTGATTCCGTAATTTGCAGCCTCAAAAGTAAAAAAAAAAAATGGCATTCGGAAAAATCGCCCGAAATCTGTGATGGTACCCCTTTGGAATATGCCAAAAAGGGACCCAGAATAAATTCGCCCAAATCGGCACTTAATGGACTTAATCATCGTCGAAGAATAGCCTCAGGCCGAATCCGTGATATGTAGCCTTCAAAATCCAAAGAAAATGACCTTTCGACGCCCAAAAAATTACGAAAATGCCATCCGAAAATAAATTGGCCCAAATCGGTGCTTAATGGACCTATCATCCGTGGAGAATAGGATCAATAGACTTCATTATCGGTGGAGAATAGCCTCGGCATGATTCCGTGATTTGCAGCTTCCAGAGTCGAAAAAATGGCATTATGGAAAAATCGCCTGAAATCTGTGATGGTACCTCTTTGAAATATGGCAAAAATGGACCCGGAATAAATTCGCCAAATTTGGCGCTTAATGGACTTAATCATCTTGGAAGATTATCCTCAGGGCGAATCCGTGATCTGTAGCCTTAAAAATCCAAAGAAAATGGCCTTTCGACCCCTAAAAAATTACGAAAATGTCATCCGAAAATAAATTGGCCAAATTGGTGCTTAATTGACTTATCATCCGTGGAGAATAGTATCAATAGACTTCATTATCGGTGGAGAATAGCCTTGGCCTGATTATGTGATCTGCAGCCTCCGGAATCGAAAGAAAATGGAATTTCGGAAAAATCGCCCAAAATCTGTGATGGTATCCCTTTGGAATCAGCCAAAAATAGACCCGGAAGAAATTCACCCAAATCGGGGCTTGATGGACTTAATTCTCGTTGAAAAATAGGCTCAGGCCGAATTCGCCATCTTTAGCCTTCAAAATCCAAGAAAAATGGTCTTTCGGAAAAACTTGCCCAAAAAATTACGAAAATGCCATCCCAAAATAAATTGGCCCAATTCGGTGCTTAATTGACTTAATCATCGGCGCAGAATAGGATCAATAGACTTAATTATCGGTGGAGAATAGCCTCGGGCTGAACCCGTGATCTGTAGCATAAAAAATCGGAAAAATGGCATTTCGGAAAAATCGGCCTAAATCTGTGATGGTACCCCTTTGGAATCTGCCAAAAATGGACTCGAAAGAAATCCTCCCAAATCTGTGCTTGATGGACTTAACCATCGTTTAAGAACAGCCTCAGGCCGAATCCGCCATCTTTAGCCTTCAAAGTCCAAGAAAAATGGCATTTGGAAAACAATTGCCCAAAAAATTCGAAAATTCAATTCCAAAATAAATTGGTCCAATTCGGTGCTTAATTGACTTAATCATCGGCGCAGAATAGGATCAATAGAATTCATTATTGGTGGAGAATAGCCTACGGCCGAATCCGTGATCTGTAGCCTCCAAAATCGAAAGAAAATGGCATTTCGGAAAAATTGCCCGAAATCTGTGATGGTATAACATTGGAATCTACCAAAAATGGACCCGGAAGAAATCTGCCCAAATCGGTGCATGATGGACTTAATCATTGTTGAAGAATAGCCTCAGGCCGAATCCGCCATCTTTAGCCTTCAAAATCCAAGGAGAATGGCATTTTGAAAAATTTTGCCCAAAAAATTACGAAAATGCCAACCCAAAATAAATTGGTCCAATTTGGTACTTAATTGACTTAATCATTAGCGCATAATAGGATCAATAGACTTCATTATCGGTGGAGAATAGCCTCGGGCTGAATCCGTGATCTGTAGCCTTCAAAATCGAAAGAAAATGACATTTCGGAAAAATCGCCCTAAATCTGTGATGGTACCCCTTTGGAATCTGCCAAAAATGGACCCGGAAGAAATCCGTCCAAATCGCTGCTTGATGGACTTAATCATCGTTGAAGAATAGCCTTAAGCCGAATCCGCCATCTTTAGCCTTCAAAATCCAAGGAAAATAGCATTTCGAAAAAATTTGCCCAAAAAATTACGAAAATGCCAACCCAAAATAAATTGGCCCAATTCGGTGATTAATTGACTTAATCATCGGCGCAAAATAGGATCAATAGACTTTATTATCGGTGGAGAATAGCCTCTGACTGAATCCGTGATCTCTGTAGCCTCCAAAATCGAAAGAAAATGAGATTTTGATAAATCGCCCGAAATCTGTGATGGGGCATATGTTCCTTCTTTAATTTATAACATTAACATTGTGATCAATTTAATGAGGATTTGGTTGGTAATTCTGGTGGGATGCTAGGTCATCATAGATTGTTAATCCACTTTTATTACGAATTAAAGTGATTTATTGGCCTTTAACACTACCAACATAATTTATAGCATTGAATGAAAGTAAACCTAATTATCAATTTGTAGTCGTAAATTAATAATACCACTCTTCTTTATCTTGATTATCTATTTGTGATTGCAAGTTTATAATTCAATTTCCCTCAGGCTTCCGATCTAGTTCTTGATTACACTCAACACTTTCTCTATGAGTTTCTCTACCGATTTTATTCATGCGAGCCGAAGAATCTCTAAACAAATCACAAGATATGAGAAAAAAAAATAACAAAATTCGATTTGCAACTACATGGTCATGGACAATAATCAGGGTACTTTATCATACACACAAAAAACGACAGAGGAAATCTTACGTATGCAACAAGAAACCCCTCTCCTTTTCCCCCCAACAATTCCAGACACTGATCATCACCCACTCATACCATCAAACCGGCAGCAGCAGCAGCAGCGAAAGCCACAATGCCAGCAGAAACAACAGCCATCCTCGCCGCCGACGCAGCAGCCCCCGAAACATCCGTGGAGGCATCATCTCCACTCCCAGCAGTCGGAGCCTTCCCCGAAACAGCCTTCTCCGCCGCTCCAGGAGCTGGAGCCGGCGCAGCAGCAGAGCCAAACAAATCCAACGGAAGCAACACCTGACTCACCTGGTAAACCGCGAGCTGGCCGTCGCTGTATATCGAGTTATCCACCGTGGCGGTATCCACTCCGGTGGTGATGTTCACCTGATTCCCTGACGTCGTCACATTCAGAGGGAACTCCCCGTTGGCGCTGTCCCCGGCCTGAGTCCGCAGCGGGTTGCTCACGGTCTGGAACTGGGACATGGAGATGAAGGTGGGCAGGACGTGGAACTGGACCAACTGGACTTTCCCCTGGTCATTGAGGGAGTTGAGGGTCCCGGGTTTGAGGCTGGAGAACGCGTTGTCGGTCGGCGCGAAGATGGTGAGCCCCTGGCTTGAGCTGCTGCTGCTGTTGAGCTGTGTGTTGATCTGGTTTGCTTCTTGGGTGGTTTTCATGAGCTTGATCAGGGTTGTGAACTGGCCGGCTTTTTCGAGGATGGCTGTGATGTTGGCTGGACCGGATGGACCGGGTGCTGGCGATTGAGCTGAGGAAATGGAGATATTGAGGAAGAGGGAGAGGGAGAAGAAGAAGAAGAATGGAGAAGGAAGTTGGTTCCTCATTGTGGGTTTTTTTTTTCCCTTCTTCTTCTTGGTGTTTTAGCTTTGGATGGTTTGATGTTTAGTGAAGAGGGAATGTAGGAGTTGGGAGAATGTATATATGTGGAGAGTGTGTGAGGGATTTTGGTGAGATGGAGATGGGGGAAACGGTGGTTAAAAAAGTTTGGTGAAATGGTCTATAGATTTAAGGTGGTGGGAGGGTTTCAACTGAAGGGTAAGTGGAAATCCAGAGGTATTGCTTTGGATTGCAGGAAGTGGAGAGTAGGGGTAGGGACAAGTTGGTTTTTTTTCAAACAAATGGGGAGATGACTTGCAATTCAAGGGTTGAATCAGCAATTCAGCATGAGGGTTGGTGTTGGGCTAATGATTATGCCAGCCAAAATGGTGTAGTTTCTTGAGTGGAGCAAAGAGCTTGCCATCAGGATTTGCATTTCTGGAACGAAGGCGAAAGAATCCTGAAGAGACCGTCTGGATTATTCGGTATGTACCTGTCAGAGATTGGCAGAGTAGTCAGTCAATCAACAGAAACCAGCTTTTTGGTTATATCACCAAACAGAAAATCTATTGTTCTCGCTCGGCGGAAGAAAATGTATTCCTAACCAGTGGCCTGTACAAAACTACTAAAGTACTAAACCTATAACCACTGAGGTAAAGAGCAGTTTCTAAGGCGTTTTTTGAAAATAAGTTTTCTTTTTTTCTTAAATTTTCCTAATTTCTCTTTACTGTACATGCATTTCAGCCTTGGAATCACACGAGGAGAATCCAAAAATCCAAAAAAAAAAAAAGAGTTATTGCACATAATAACTCCATGCTTGAACTCATCAGAACGAGTTAACAAGTATTGATATGGGGCAAAATTTTAATCTACCTAGCCTTTTGGAAAGTAACATTAATAAGTAAACGTATAGAGATTCAGCCAAACGGAAAGGATACCTTGCCATCTGTTTCTTTTTTGTTCATCAATCAAACTGAGTACTGTAGAGAGACCCCGCATCTTTTGATTTTCAACTTCTTCAATTGCTCGCGATCTCTTCCAACAGCGTAGAACTGGAATGAAACAGTGTGGCCTGCATATTTCACATACCATGCTTCTCCTTCTCTTTCCATGGGCTCTGTCTCACCTGATTCGAACCACAGCAACACTTGGTCTGTTGACGACATCGTGATATCCCACACATCATAAGATTTCCAAGAGGCAACAGTAGTGGTGCCAATGACACAGTCACAATTCATACCAATCCAAACATTTGGAGGCGAAAACACCACACCAAATGCAATCCCTCTGATTAGTTGCTTACTACTAGTGCAGTTAGCAGGAGGCAATTGCACCGTCAAACACGAACTATCCTTGTCCTTCTCACTTCTGTAGGTGAACCATTCCGGAATCCCACTCCCTGAATACTGAAGATGGAAGCTCTATTGCCCAAACACAAAGAGGTGACGTTATCGAGACAAAAATGTTTGACATTTTGTTCAATCACTAATAATATACATGCGATTAAATACAAACACCAACTCAGCTTTATGGTAGTATTTATGTACCTTTTGACGTTCAGATGATGGTGCATAGACTGTGTAATTTGCTAGGATTTCATCAGGAATTGTCTTGTCTAATTTGGGACAATCGTTAAACGCGAGGCGTCTCCAACTAAGCTTGGTGGTGTTGCTTGGTAGAGCTTGTAAGGACTTGCAGCCACCGACATGCAACTCATAGAGACTTGATGGAAGCTCCGACAAAGATGGAATACTTCCACATCCGTACAAGTTCAATCTTTGTAGCTTGGGCAGTTTATGGATATTGATCGGGATACTCTGAAGGCTTTTGCAGTTGCTCATATCTATTGACACAAGGTGGCCCAAATCCTGGATAGATGAAGGCAATGACTCAATGCCGATGTTTCTCAGACAGAGATACTTTAGAGATACTAAATTGTTGATGCTAGATGGGAGGCTTTTGAGACTTCCACACCGCAGTATCAAAAGATTGGATAAACCTTTCACAGGCTCTGAGATATCAGGAAGACTCTCAAGAAGTGGGCTGCTCCAAATAGAGAGACCAGACGTGACCATGTCCCATAAATTATTTGGCAGGCTCTTGAGTTGGGAGTTATCTTCCAATCTTAGCTTACCAAATTTCGGCAGTACCTCAGAAGAATTCATCTCTTTCATTGCAGTATTCGACAAGTGAAACTGGCCCAAGCTAGTAGAAATTGCAGGGAAGTCGGTGATGTTTTCACCAAAGAGAGATAGGCGGCCACCTTCCTTGACATTGTAAACTGCACTAGGTAACTCCCTGACAGGTGTCACATCTAAATCCAATTCCATCAACTCTTCTGAATTAATATCCGGACAGTGCTTCACCTTTGGACAGCTGTTTATCCGAACATGCTTGAGGACCTTTGAGTTGAGTTTTGATGGAAGACGCTCTAGGTTTGCACAATATTGAAGATCAAGGGTTATTAGCCTGTCCAGATATTGAACAGGAGAGGGTACTTCAACTAGGCTTGTGCATCCAGGAAGTCGGAGTTCTTCAATTTGTAAAGAGGCCGAGAGATCAGGGATAGCAGTAAGATTGGAGCAATATGAAAGATCGAGTACCATTAGATTCGCCAGCTTTGGCTGCAAAAAAATAAAAAGAAGATAATTAATCCATTATTGAAACAAATACAAGTTTATAATCATAACACAGACCTTTGAAAATAAATGATAAACAATTTATTCGACTAGAAGAAAAATGGTAAAATTCTAATTGCTTATTTGATCAAATGGACTAAATATCAGCCAACGGATCAATTTAATGGTTGAGATTAAATATTATTTTTTATTAGTCTCCCAATTTTCTTGATCTTTTTGAAAAAATTTCATTCTAATTCACTTCTTTGTTTAACTTATACACTTATTAAATGCATTGATTGTGATCCACATAATGGTATGCAATTTTTATATGTTTTGAAAAAAAATCAAAACTAAAATCAAATTAAAAGAAATGACATATGTTCTATTAAAAGATAGTGTGAGAATGAATCATTGACCACATCTTATACTTATGCATATGTACATTGGGTTATTCACCTTATCCACACATCGATTAAGTGTAACATTTACAAATCTTATTCAAATGTTATATTTTTACCCTCTTCCAAATAACTAATTAAACTAATTTCTACAATCATACCGTTACATCTTAAACAATAAAACCTATATAATTTTTTCCCTTAAAAAAAACCTATATAATTTCGTTTTTGTGGCCTCGATCTTTCTAATTCTCAACGCTATCCCATTAATAATTTAAAAATGTGCTAATTTATATACCCTATACTCTTGACAGTACAGAGATTATTCAAGTTACAGTAAGATATCGCAACAACTTTACCTAAGCAAAGCATAAACGTGAAAGTTAACCGAGAAAATAAAAACAAATGTCAGAAATAAAAATTACTTACTTGGCAATATCCTTCCCAACAGCTTTTAATTGGACTATACCGTATAATAAGACGAACGAGATGTTGGGGATAAATTCCAGAAGGTAGTGATTTGGAGGGGTATCCATCCCACTGCAGCCATCTCAAACCATCAGGAAGTGAGTCAAGCCCATCGTATGGCAAATGGATTTTCTTTATCTCCGGTATAACTCTTTTGCTTGTATAGCCTTCAAACCTAAGTTCCAGCGGCCACCAAATTTTGAGAAATGTAAGAGAATCCATCCCTTTGAAGGCATTGGCTTCCAGACGCATCTCTTTGGCTTTATATAGATCCAAACTGATACCTTGAGTAGTTCTCAATCCCTCCAATGGACAATTGTCTTTCTCATCCATGTCAATGACTTTCCTCCTTTTCCTTCTCGGCCGAACCATCATCCCTATGCCTTTGAGGAAGGAGTATATATAACATGTTGTCCAACTTCCCACCTCTGTAGTTGCCAATAGTTTGTAGATGTCATCAGGATCCACCAACCTGCTGCGTTTGCCGAGCTTTGGTTCCTCGTTCACAATACTCCAAGCCATTTCCTTGAGCAGATCATGCACCTCAATCTTCTCTCCATCCTTTTCAGAAACACAAGTTAGGAGAGACTTATCTATCAGGTCCTTCACATTAGCAAGAGCGGATGGGTACAGGGTTTCCAAGTAGCGTATCACTATGGATCTTGACGTTCCGTGGTGGAAGCAAGCAACATCCAAGAACACTCGCTTCTCATCGGGTCCCATTTGATCGTAGCTTTTCCTGAAAATAACACCAATTTCAGGGTTTCGAATCAGCCTCAACCCACCTAAGAAACTCTCCCAGTAATCTTCGTCCTCGTCGAACAAAGCACTCCCCAGAACTCTAAGTGCCAAGGGGTTTCCCTTGCAGCGTGATATTGCAAGACGTGATAGGCGCATCCAATTATATGGGGGATGTTGTTGCCTGAATGCACGGGAACTAAAGAGTTGCATAGATTCATCATCATTCAAACCCTTGATGGCATACACCTTTGCCCTCGCATTTTGGAGCACTTTTTTGTTTCTTGTTGTCACGATGATTCTGCTCCCGGCCGCAAAGAGTCTGGTGAGATCGAAGACATCGTCTGAAAGTAGCTGCTCTAATTGGTGTGGACTCTCCACATTATCAAGAACAAGGAACACCTTCGAGCGAGAAAGGCGTGCTCTTATATAATGCACATCCAAATCTTCATGACTTAGATTACTCTCGGACAATACTTTTGAGTAGAGCTCGTGCACTATTCCATCAATCCCGTGCTGGTTTTCGCAAATTTGGTTGATGTTCCTGATGAAATGATGGTTGATGTCTTTCGTTGATGAAACTATCCTTTCATAACAAGCCTTGGCCAGAGTTGTTTTCCCTGAACCACCCATTCCCCATATCCCAATGATGCGAATTTCATCTGGTTCGTCCATGGCAAGCAATTGCTCAACCTCCAAAATGCGGGAACCCATACCAACCAAGTTTTCTGACTTGATGATTGGTGACATGTCGATCAGTTGCTTCTGAACATCTTCCACGATCGCCTTAATCAATTCAGATTCGATTCTGAGAGTCAATGTACAGACACATAGGAAACAAAGTTAAGTCCAAGTCAGAAAATGGCAGTTACGTCAATTAGAGCACGTATGTAACTTCATATAAACAGACAGATCAGTATTTGAATAAACCATCTAATGCGCGAATCAAATAAGGAATGTTAATGATTGCAAGTAGAATAAGGATCTTAGTAATTCTTCATAAAAAAAAAAAAAGGATCTTAGTAATAGATGAGGGAGAAGGAGTTCTCACGGAATCGCAGAGGAAGTACGTCCAGCACGATTAGCCACCGCTTTCAGAGCATCCTTCCATCTCTTGCTGTCCTCAGAGCTCGCTTTAAGCTCTTCATCGATGATGGCAGAGTAACGGCCAGAGTCCCCTGCCACGTCGGTCCAACCAACTTTGTAGAACACCGGCAGCGCTCGGTGTCCGAATATCTCGATGCTTTGGACAATCGTGGCCACCTCGTCCAAGCACCAGGGCGAATCCGCGAACTTCTCGGAGAAAATCACGATCGAAAGGGTGGATCTTTGGAGGACTGAGAGGAGCTCGTCGATGGACTCTGTCTTCCGGAGCATGGTGTCGATGAAGGCTTTGATTTTCTTGTCTGAGAGAGCAGCCATGAGGTGGCTTGTAAAACCATGTCGGGTGTCGCCGCCTCTGAAACACAAGAAAACATCGTACTCCCATCTTCCGGAGTAGGAGGACGAGGAGTCATGGCGATCAGGTGGAGAGGAAGGAGGAGGAGGAGAAGCTGCTGCCATAGCTGATTGACTCGAGAAGCTGAAAAGGCTCTGCAGGGGTTTTGGAAGTTCTGTTCTTTCTTCCTCTTCTTGGTTTTTGAAGATAGGAAACGAAGGGCTGGTGCACCTTCAGCAGTTTATTGGCCTCACTTTTTCTTTGTTCATTTCGGGTGTAATTTGGTGCGGTACACGGTAATACGCGGTCTGCGTGGGGACTTGAAAAATGAATGGTAGAGAATAGAGATATGAATCGATGACTTTGCCGTTTCCCGCCAGTCCACGTCAACTCCCGCTTCAACTCAGTTAGCCAAGAAGATAGTCAAAATATGCTTATATATGCCATTTCAAATGGTGAATTTGATCTCTTTGCATAAGCGTACATAAGGTGTATATATTTTTTTCTTTTTCACCGCAACTTATGTGTGTCTTATGATAAGTCCCAAACCACCTGCATCCAGCTATATGTTAAAATTTGTGATTATGAAAGGTTGATACTTAAAAAGCGTTTGCTCCCGATCCAGAGACCAATATGAACGTTGAATTGATTCATCAGCAAGATAACAGATATTATGAATAAAGTTTTATCGTAATTCTTAGAAATAGAGTCGGTAAGAAATCACTAGAAATTAGACTCTAACGAGTAACAACTCTACATACAATCTTTGTTAGAATTTCAATCTTTGCTACAAAATCTTTTTATGTACGTCCAATACAAATCAACGATCAACGAACACATCTTCTGGGAATCCACAATGAACGTCCTGGTGTTGCTTCCTTTTACAACCCCCACACCACGCGTTAACACCTTGTGGGCAAAGGTCTCGAAACTAGCATGCAAGCGCTGACTTGACCATTGCCAGAAATTGGGCCCAAAACGAAACTGATTCCCAAAACTTAGGTATCTTGGAGAATATTTTTTACAAGTGTCGTAGTTTAGCAAAAAAAAATTTTGTTTTATGTGTATTGGGGAATTTTTTCCATTTTGTCTTTGTTCATTTCGGGTGTAATTTCCTACGGCACACGGCTACACGCTCTGCGTGGGTACTTGAAAATGAATGGTAGAGAATAGAGAGAGGAATCAATGACTTTTCAGTTTTCTGTTTCCTGCCGGTCCGCGTCAACTCGCGCTTCAACTCAGTTAACCAGAAAGGTCCAAAACAGAAAAGAAATTGGCCCAAATTATATAAGGTGTCGTTTGGACGAGGAATTGTAACGGATCAATTTGACACAATTGTCTCGTTTTGCCAATAAAAAATTTGGATGGATCAATCTGTCTGAGGTATTTTGAATTGATCCGTTTTGAGTCAATTTCAATTACCTGGGATGGGGGCAGGTAATTTGAATTAACTCGTTTTCATTGCCTCGTTTATAAAACGAGACAATTGATCAAATTGACTCATTTCTAGATTGATCCATCCAAACAACCCCTAAGGAATAAGCTGGTGGATCCGTTTCGAGTAGGAAATAACGGAAGTTGTTACTTACAGGTTTTACAGTTGCGGGCAAAAATCGGATAGGGTGAGTGAGAAAATTATATAACAAGAGGTGAGGTTTAGTGTATCGACAAAGTACCATTTCAAATGGTGCGTTTGATCTCTTGCATAAGCATACCTAAGGTGTACTATTTTTCACTCAAACTAACATCAACGCGAATTGATTCATTAGAAATATAACAGATATTATGAATGTGAAGTTTTATCGTAATTCCTAGAAGTAGAGTCGCCAAGAAATCATTGGAAAGTAGACTAACAATTCTACCTACAAGCTTTGTTAGAATTTATTCCTTCAATTTATTTCTTCAATTTGCTAGGGATATCTAAACTAAATTTGATTTTATATACTAGGCATGCGGCCCGCGTTTCACTATGGGATTGAGATGACGTATTGAACCATTTTTTGTTATTATCAAAGTGCTCACATAGATTTGGGCCAGCAATAAAATGATCTGAAACGTTTAAAATATAATAAAAAAGTCGAATAAGTATCAAGATATAACAAAACGACTATTTTCGTCCATATTTTCATCCAAAATGGCTAATTAGATTGCTTAGGATAAGAGAAAATTTTATAGGTTAGTTAGGCGTATTGTATCATCGTATCATGATGTCGTGAATCGTGATATGATGATACAATCGAGTTTTGTAGACCGGAGTATTGTACTCTTTCTGCTCCCTTAAATATATATAGAATTCAAAAAATCACGGGTTGGGCTTCAAAACGTATGTGACACATACTCTTTTCTAAAATCTTCGCATTGTAAAACCAACCCCATGGGGTTAGGCCCAACAAAAATTAGATGATTGTGTGAACCAATGCCATTAGCACTTTCTTATGTTTGATTATACACATGCATATATATTTTGTTTAAAAATTATCATTACTTTTCTTAACATATTTAATATTTATCATGCATATATAATATTTTTTCATGAAATTATATTTTTCTCACTAATTTTCTTCATTTTAGTAATTTATTGTTTTGACGAACGGTCTTGCATCGTCATCGAACCGATTCGAGAGCTTTCCATAATGTTGCGGCTGGACGTTTCATGGGATAGAAGGAAGAAAAGCAGCCAGGTACAAACTTCAATCTCAATCAATTAATTGAGCTTGTATGATCAGTTAATTAATCTGTCGTAGGGGAGAAGCGGTTCGGCAATTGGGAAAAGTTAGAGAGAGAAAGTTAGAGAGAGAGAAAAGAGAGTAACGATTTTTCCCGCTCGATTGGCATTCGCCGTCGAGGGCTTCTGCAGCCCTAGCGGTCTGTCCTCGTCGTCTGGCCCCCTGGCCGGCGGTGCTTTCTTCCGGCAACGCTCATCGTCGTCGGATCTCTTCTTCCTTTCTTGAGTTTTTCTGGATTGCGTCGGAGTTTCCATGGCGGAATCAGGCAAATCGTGGGCGGAGCTTTTCACTGTGGAAGAGAGTTGTCGACTTCATTACGAGGAGCCTGATTTGGTTGATGGAGCCCTGAGGTTGCCAAAAGATTTGCTGGACAAGGGAGCTGCTCGTTGGTGCAATTGTCTGGTAGGTCAGTTCATCTCTGCTCCACCATCTCTGGGAGTGATTCGAAGTTGGGCGAACAAGCTTTGGGGTAGAGAAGGAAAAATTAGGGTTTCATGGTTTGGGGAAAAGCTGCTGGTTTTTCAATTCCCTACTACTTCGACTTGTAATTGGGTTTTTCGGGGTGGTCCATGGCATCTCTGGGGTAATAACCTGTTCCTGAGGAAGTGGGAGAAAGGAATACTGCCAATTGTTCCTGAGAAACCAGGGATACCAGTGTGGGTGAGTATTTCAGGGTTGCCAATGGAGTGTTTGTTACCTGAGTGTTTGAGCAAGGTGGTGAGTATGATTGGGAGGCCGTTATGCACTCAGGTTACTAGAGTAATAGATCAGTTGGGAGTCGCAAAATGTTGTGTGGAGATTACTGTGGAATCGAAGTGTCCAAAGGAGCTAAGGTTTGTACCAGATGCAGGTGCTCCTTTCTCAGCTACTGTGGACTACTTCAAGTTACCCCCTGTTTGTTTAAAGTGTCAAAAGTTTGGCCATGACTGTAGTAAGGAGGACTCAGAAGTACGAAGGGTGTGGGTGCCTAAGGCGAAGAAAGCTCATCCTATAGGTACAGAGAAGAATCTTGAGGTGCAGAAGGAGAATGTGGTTCAGCAGGATAGCCAGGCCATGGGCAGGGAAGCCATAAGTTTTGGAACAGTGATGCAAGAAGCAAATCTGGTGGTAGCAGAAGATGCCACTGAGGGAGGTATGCTGACACCTTTACCTGTGCAGAAGCAAGTGAGGGATCAGTTACCATCAGAAGAGGAATTCCAGGAGGTTATTCAAGGGAGGAAAAGTATGAGTCCAGCAACGGCTGCTAGACTATCTAAGGGAAAAGCAGTGGTTGTTTCTTTCTCAGGGGATGGAGGAAATGTTGAGCTAGCTGGGGGTACTTCTCTGGTTAGTTATGACTACATCACTAGTGGAAGAGGCAAGAAAGCAGGGTGGGGGGGGGGGGCGGTCTTCCAAGCAGAAATGATCATCTCTTCATGGAACATGAGAGGCTTCAATAGGGCCTCAAAGCATGGGTTTATTAGTAAGTACATAAAGACCAAGAAAATTGATATTCTAGCTATACTAGAAACAAGAGTACAAAAAAGTAAAATGGGTAAAATTTGCACTGATTACTTTTCAGAGTGGGGGTGTTTGGAGAATTATGCAAAATCTTCCAATGGGAGGATATGGATATTCTTCAGGAAGGATCTGGTTGTTACAGCAGAGAAAATAGAGGAAAACTTTATGCATTTAAAAGTCAGGGGAGGAGTGGATTGTCAGGTTACCATGGTGTATGGGTCAAATGATGAATTGGTAAGGCGTCAGACTTATATGCAAATGAGGTCTATTCAGACAGGTAGTGAGCCATGGGTAGTTCTGGGAGACTTTAATGCTATCTTAGTTGCCTCAGATGCTTCAAATGGAACTCCTCCTGGATCAAGTGGGAAGGATTTTCAGGATTGGGTGGATGATATGCAACTGGAAGAGCATAAAGTTGTTGGTGAGTGCTTTACTTGGGTGAACAAGCAATCTAGAAACCCTATAGCTAGAAAATTAGACAGAATTCTAATGAATAGTTACTGGTTGGCTGCTTTCCCGGGGAGTATAGCAAGTACTGAGTTTCCAGGGGTGCATTCTGACCACTGTGGATTACTCTTGAATTCTTCTCCAAATCGGAAGACCTTGCCTAGGCCATTTAAATTTTTTAACTTCTGGTATGATCACCCGAAGTTCCAAGAGTTGTTGCAGGATGTATGGAGCACAAGAGTAACTGGCTATCCATTCTTTAAGGTGTGTCATAAGTTGAGGTTATTAAAGAAGAAGCTGAAGGAGTTTAACAAAGAATTTTACTCAGACATTTCTTTGCGTACAAGACAAGCAGAAGAAGCTTTGAAAGTTCTCCAGCAACAGGTTTATCGTGATCCTTCCTCACAGTTAATTGAAGCAGAGGCACAAGCAGTGGCTGAGTGTGTTATGTTTCAGAAAGCAGAAGAGGGCTTCTTTAAGCAAAAAGCAAGAGTGCAAGCTATAACAGAAGGAGATCAGAATACAGCATTCTTTCATCAATCACTAAGGGTAAGGCAGCACAGGAATCAAATCTCCCTTCTTAAGAAAGAAGATGGCAGTATAGTTACTGATGTGGAGGAAATTGGCAATGTGGCAGTAGAATTTTACAAGAAGCTGTTAGGGGAGAAAAACCAGGATGTGGTGAGTATTTCAGTAGAGGAAATGGAGGAATTGCTGGTTCACAAAGTTAGTTTTGGGGATACTGAGCACCTTTGTGGTGCTGTTACTAAGGAAGAAATAAAGGTTGC